GACAATGAGTTTTACAGATTCTTCCTTGCCTTTGTCTTCCCTGCTTTTATATGGAAGTTGACCAAAGCACTCTAGCAGCCTAGCTCCATTCTGCACATCTTTTATAGAAGTTAGCAATATTCTCTACTCTTCTTTATATTTATATGTTTTTTTCTCTTCAGTATTATATATGTGCCTAGGTAACACCAAAACTTATTGACATAGGAAAATGAAAGCACATGATTTTCCACGTCGAAATTATAACGCGATGTAATTGTTGAATTATAAAGTCCCACATTACTGATGTAGTTTTGTCACGCATGTTCGATCTCTACCAATTAAAAATATTAATGGGGCCATTCTCATCCACTCTCATTTGTCAAAAACCCTAGCACCAGGTCCAGTTCAGAGAAAAGTCTTCATTGTTCACACATAAATCATATCTATCAGTTGGAAAGCCTGTGTCCGTTCACATGTGTATACAGTGTATTGTTTTGAGCATGAAATACGAATAATTCAATAACTTATGAAGCATGCTGAAAATGAAAGATAATTAAATATCAAGTGACACAATCATGTACATTCTTGATAACGCACGTCGAATATTGTTGAGCCTTTGCAAAACGATGTAGATTTAAACTTCATCGGTGGTTAATTTAACATTTAATCTAACAAAATTTATCGTTGTCACTTAGTACTGTAGTCTAGTGATATTCCTATACACTTGTAAGTGAGACGTCTTAGGTTCGATTCTTTCCAAAGACGAATTTGAACCATATTATTGTTAATTCATTGTGAAACTTAGTCCAATCTCACTCCTTAGTGTAGATAACTTGTTCAGAAAAAAAAAATCTATCGTTTGATAAAAAAAAAAAAATTACAAACTAATGATTGAGACACTGATTAACAAGCGATTATGATACTTATGGGTTGGTTTTCAGCGTGGAATTACACTTCCATGTTTGTCTTTTCTCGTCAAAAACAATAAATATGACATGCATCGTATTTACATTGTTGAATTATCCCTCATTATTAAATTTCGACGTTAAATATATAAGTTTATTAAGTTAAAATAAAAACGAAATAATTATTAAGTAACTCCTGTTCAATTTCCATAAGACTCGTGGTAGGTTAAACGTCTTTATAGCTGAGACTAATCAACAAATTAGTGCAAAACATCCCCGATCACATTCGATCCAAACATGTTTTCAGGCGCTAATAACAAGTTAGACAATTCTCGTTTTGTAATTCCGGAAACACCCCTAGGACTCTTGCTGAAACTACAAAACGTGCCATCCTCACGAGCTTTGGCACTGTCCATGATGTAATGCGGCTCGTGTTAAATCAATTCTAATAATGCATGCATTCCCGTTGGAAAAAGATGGATCACGAAAAGATTCCGGATTACAGAACAAAAACTTAAGCGGCTAAACGCGTCAAAAATTTGTTTTCATAGCGACCCCACAACACCAATCTTGTCCTGCCACGTGCGATTTATACGGTTCTAAGCGCTGCCACACCATCAGGGCACTCACTCTTTGCGCTTTTTTCTACTAAAAAAGTCAGAGCTCAGTCTGCAGCTCTGGACTCGTGGACAAATGACGTGGTCTTTCTTGATGTCGGTTTGTCCGTTTAATTAAAGAGCAATGTTATTCATATCATATTTTTATATTATATTTTTATATTACTTTAGGTGGCATCTGATGTGGACAGTCACATCATTTGAAAAATTTGCAAAACCCAAGGAAACTGAAGGAGAAAGACTTCTCGTATACCACAATCATCATTTAATTAACTAGTTTTTCTTAATTATTAGTTTGTTAAATAATGAACTAAATTTAAAAATCTAATTAATTCAAATGATGTGACTGTCCACATCAAATACCCCATAACGTGATATGAAAATGTGGTACAAAATATGATATAAATAGCATTACTCTTAATTAAATAGATTTACATAGTATGAGTATACTGCTTAAAGAAGTTTCGAGAGAGAGATTGGTTATTATCACTATATAGCTATAGCATACGTTGTTAGAGTAAATTGTAGAAATATGGAAATATTCAACATACGTACAATCTTAAGTCGGAAGAACTTATGTCTAGCACTTAATTGTCAACTGCTATTAATATGAATTTACATGAAATTTACAGATTGTACAACAACGAAGACGCTGACAGCGGAATTCAAACCTTAATAGGACGACACGCAACACGAAAACCCTGTTTTTTTTTAATTATTATATTACAAACAATATTGTTACACTGAACTATATACTATAAGAGGAGAAAAAGATTAAATTACAAATTATATTTTTAGTTTTTTGAAGTGGGGTCAAATTACCTGTCGAAACTCTTGTATCTTTCAATTTTAGACAAAAGCTTTTATGATTTATTTTGAATAAACATTTTAATATTGTTGACGTGTACATGTTATGCAAGGACAAAATTCTAGAATGTTTATTGACTGCCCTTTGATCAAAAAACAAATTAAAGTGGATTGTTATTTATTACAGCTAGATTTTCTCCTTATGGGAAATTTAAGTTACCCTAGTAAATTGTAATCTTTTTCTTTCGTAAATTTCACGGTCAATTTAAGAGGAGAATATAAAGTTTTGAAGACTTCAACTCCAAGTCATGCAATAAGATTTTCTATTAAATATCTGACATTCTTCCTCAGCATTACACGATAAATTTTTATTGTACAGAAAATACGATTTGGTATACTTAGTGATCCAGGCCATGTTTTCGGTATGTTGAAAAATCGCTTGTAGAGTTAATTAATTTGCTCCTTAGGATTTTTAGGTACTGGATTTTACATTTTTGTATATGGAAAATCACTTGTTTTTTTCTTTTCTATATATTGTAGGAAGAGAAATGCTAAGTAGACTTTTCATGAATTCTCTGACACCTCATGCTTCTGTCACAATATTTTATGATGTTAGCACGAGAATTGACGTCAGATTGTGAGATGAGAGAGTCTACAGATAGTCTCAATTAGAGAAAGTTCCCTTAGCAAACCTTTTAATAAAATCAACGCGTAAATTAATGATTTTGATTCACTTAGATATTATTCACCAACTTGTAAGATGTGGGGATATTAATGTTCACTTCTTTTTATTGTTCTAACTAAGTACGCATAGTGTCACAACAAGGCCACACCGTTCTAATTAATCATCAAACTATCAAAAAATACTTTGAAACCCGAAACCTCCATCAATTGAGTGGAGACGTATACTATTTTACCAAATGCTAGATGTCAAGCTTTTATCACAAATCTTAATGTCAAGAAATATAACATACTTTAAATTCAAATCTAACAAATAACAAGTTGAAAATTAGAGTACATGATGGACAAACAGAATATAAAACTTTATTAACTAAAACGAAACAAAAGACTACAATTGCCGAGACGGCTACATAAGCCGTAAAGATTATTGTTTATAATAAACGTTACTAAATCCTAATAAATAAGAAAACGAAAACCTAATTCTAATGCGCTAAGCCCAAATCTAAACACTAAATTAAATAAATAACTATTTTCAAACATAACAGCGACGTTGGATATTCATGTATGTTAAAGAAAAATGGATTCCTTTTCACATCTCATGGATTTGAAGCCATAAACAATATATCTTCTTCCTTAATTCATTCATCATGCAAAACTCATCGTGCCATATTTCGTGTGGTGTGTTAATTTCTAGAGGTTTCTCCATTTTAATCTTTGATCAAGATTGAAATTTAATTAAAACCTTATGTTAGATTATATATTCATTATAGTTCTTTGACTAAATTTCCATGTCAACATAAATATTAAAATTCATATTTTCTTGTTTTTAAATATTTAATGCGTTTTTTGTTCCTATAATGCCCCTATTAAATATTTCATTTTAATTTGCTCCCTATTTTTTGGCATTGATTATTGTCTGACTTTCTAAAACAATAAACATAATTCAAAAAAATATTAGTGATACGTTACAAGAATTAACAAATACCTAATTCAAATTATTAATTATCACCATTCAAAGCATAGAGGAAATAAAAATAGTCAAATCATATATTATATATAATCGAATGCACTTAAACCATGTCCTAATGTGCTTAAATCATAGAACCTAGTCGAATGCACATAAATCATAGTACCAAGTCAAATGCACATAAATCATAGTACCAAGTCAAATGCACCTAGCTAAACCATGGTACTTATATGAATGCACCTAAACCATGGTACCTCTATGAATGCACCTAAATCATAGTACCTATATGAATGCACCTAAATCATTTAGGTACTGTCAATTAGGTCATATCCATTCGGTACGGTCTGTTAGGTATATATAGTGTATGTCTGATTAATTAAGTACGATCAATTAGGTTGTGATTTCACATTCTATTTTCTCTATTTGTTTTTTCTTTTTCTTTTTTGCTTTAATTTATCTCTGGATTCACCGTCAATTCGGCATCTAAAAGTCCCTTTTTCTTCTTTTTTTCGAATTCAACGAGATTATTGGTTTCTAAGTTTTCTAGCTTTTTTTGTTTGATCATGGTTTCTGAGTTTTCTGTGTTCTTTGATTGGAATAACACATGGAGGTTTATGGTAATGTTATTGTTATAACAAACATGTTAATTATGGATCTAGTTAATTAAGCATTCTTGAACAATTAATTATATATTTGTTTCTCTAATTTGTTTTAAGAGAGTAATAAGGGTAAATAGGGAAACTAAAAATGCAATAAATTTATTAAAAAATGATTAAATGTGACATGGAATACTATAATCTAATATAGAGGACTATTTTTAGTTTTTAATCTTACATACGGTATTATTGAAAAAACAATCTTATTTAGGAATTGAAATGAAGTTTTCTATTTTTCTATTAAGTTGTATAGCCCTAAAATTTTGCAGGTAGGCCATGGTAGCAGCCAAGCACAAAGCAAAAGCCCAAACCCTCACACTCTCTCTCTCTCACTCACTCATCCGCTCCTCTTTCTTCCACACCAATATAAATACCTGCTTAAAACCAAACAAATCCACCAACATAACATTCTCAACCCTCCTCTCTCTCTCTCACTTAGATCCCCCAAAAAAATAAAAACAAAAATAAAAAATAAAGAAAAATGCAGCAGCACACACAACTCAGCCTTGTGACTCCTCTCTCTCTGTTCTTTATCTTCTTCTCATCTCTCAATGTAAGCCATCTATATTTCTCTACCCAGATAACTTTAATCCTTTTATTTATTTATTTATGAATTAATTCATACTATTTGATTAATGTTCGTACTGTCATTGTTTCTGGGCGCTTTAATTTTACTTGTTCTGACCGATTTGCCATTGTTATGACACAATGCAGCCTATGCAGGTTGCTCTCGCCGCCAATGGTGGCAGCTCCGGCGCGGCCGAAAACCCATTTTCGCCAAAGGCGTATCTGGTTCGTTACTGGAGTAAGGAGGTCCGAAACGACGCAGAGAAGCCGTCGTTTTTGCTCTCCAAGGCTTCCCCATTGAACGCGGTGGACTCGGCGGCTTTCGTTAAGTTAGCGGCTCAGAACAGCCTCTCGACTCGGCTGCCTGAGTTCTGCTCCGCAGCCAATCTCCTCTGCTTCCCCGATTTGGCACCGAGCCTCGAAAAGCACGACAAGAACGCGAATTTCGCGGTCTACACAAACAAAAACTTCACCAATTACGGCACGGATCGGCTCGCTGGAGTCGACTCGTTCAAAAACTACTCGATCGGCGAGAACCTCCCAGTCGACTCTTTCCGGCGGTACAGCCGCGACTCAGTCAACCACAAGGACCAGTTCGCCAGCTACGCCAACGACGGGAACGTGGTGGACCAGAGCTTCAACAGCTATGCCGGTGGATCCACCGGCGGCGCCGGCGACTTCAAGAAGTACGCCGACTCGGTAAACGTTCCCCACCTCGGATTCAACTCGTACTCGGACGATTCAAACGGGCGGTCCCACGGGTTCACGGGCTACAGTGAGAATGCCAACGCTGGCGACCAATCGTTCTCTAGCTACTCCAAAAATGCCAATGGGGCCACGAACGAGTTCACGGGCTACGGTACTAACGCCAATGTCGTCGGGTCCGGGTTCACAGGTTACGGCCAATCCGGTAACGGAGCAAACGACAAGTTCAATAATTACGGAAACGAGCCAGAACAATCCGACTAACAATTTCCGGAGCTACGGCGACGGAGGCAATGCCGGAGTCGAGACATTCACCAGCTACAGAGACAGAGCCAATGTCGGCGACGATTCGTTTCAATCGTACGCCAAGAACTCCAACGGCCAGAAGATGGATTTCACGAATTACGGCAAGTCGTTCAATGTTGGGTCCGATAAATTCACCGGGTACGGGCAGGGCGCGAAGGGGCAGGAAATCGGGTTCAAGATCTACGGCGCGAACACGACTTTCAAAGACTACGCCAAGAAGGAGACCGTAAGTTTCAAAAGCTACACCAAGGCCGGCGCCAGCTCTGAAAAGGTGGCTGCGACAATGGCGGCGGCTAGTGGCAGTTTGGTAAAAAAATGGGTGGAGCCGGGCAAATTCTTCCGGGAGTCGATGCTCAAGAAGGGGGTCGTGATGCCAATGCCCGATATTCAAGATAAAATGCCCAAAAGGTCGTTTTTGCCCCGGACAATTCTCTCCAAACTACCATTTGCCACTTCCAAAATCGCGGCCCTCAAGCAAATCTTCCACGCGGCGGATAACTCCACGATGGAGAAGATCATCGTCGACGCCCTCCAGGAGTGCGAGCGGGCCCCCAGCGCCGGCGAGACCAAGCGCTGCGTTGGGTCCGCCGAGGACATGATCGACTTCGCCACCACCGTCCTCGGCCGAAACGTCGTTGTTCGGAGCACCGAGAACGTCAATGGGGCGAAGCACGACGTGATGATCGGATCGGTGAAGGGAATCAACGGCGGGAAAGTCACGCAGTCCGTGTCGTGCCACCAGAGCCTGTTCCCGTACCTACTCTACTACTGCCACTCTGTTCCTAAAGTTCGGGTTTACGAAGCGGATCTTTTGGACCCGGTTTCGAAGGCCAAGATCAACCACGGTGTTGCCATCTGTCACTTGGACACGTCTGCTTGGAGTCCGACTCATGGGTCGTTTATGGCTTTGGGCTCGGGTCCGGGTCAGATCGAGGTCTGCCACTGGATCTTCCAAAATGATATGACCTGGACTATTGCCGACTGACAGTGATGATGACGTGGAAGGTTAGCCCGTTTGGTTAATTTGGGTTCGAACCTGTGGCTAAGAAAGGTTAGCCCCATCGCTCGAACTCGAGTTAGTTTTTCATTTTTAATTAACTATATTAAGTATGTAATATTTTTTTTCCTTTTTGGTTTTTTTACATTCGGAATATGTCTTAATTATGATATATGATCCTTGGTAAATTGTATGTGTTGCTTCCCCAATAATTGGAAGCCCAAATCAATGGAGCAATGAATTTCAGCTATATATACTATCAAACATCAATAATTGTTTATTTATTAATTTATTACATTATTGTGTATAACTTTGTATTAATTGTTTTAATTTGGTTGGTTGGTGCTTTGTGACTTTGTCCATTTTCATTTGAATATTAATAAATTCCGCTCGAAAAAACCAAAACAAAATAGCATCCAAACCAATATAAAACGTTGGGAGAATTGCAAATGAATTTTTTTTAAGCTTTTCAGCTAAATGGTCTCTGAAACTGTCACAACTCCTTACTTTGGTCGTTGAAATTTAAAATCGATAGAACTAGTTTTTCAGTTTGTCCACCGTTAATCATTTTGGCCACTTCGTTAAAAAATTTCATTAAATAAGAAAAAAATCACAAAAATATCATCAATTTTTGTCAAATTATTTTAACCCGTTGTTTATTAAATTGAGGCTACTTTTTTCATTTGGTCCTTGTTTACAAATAATTTTCACGAAATGATTAAAATGATTAATGGTGGACAAAGTCAGTGACTACTTTTATTAATTTCAAATCTCGAATGACAAAAGTGATGAATTATGATAATCTCAAAATCCATTTTGGCTTCAATGTCTTTTTTTAATAAGAATTTTGAAGAAGAGGCATTCTAACTCGAAATTTTTGCTACATGGATGAATGCTCATAAGTTAACAAACCAAGAGCATGAGAGGAAATATAGACAATTTTAACTCCTCATGTGAGTGTAAATCAGCCAAAAGATATGTTAAAAACGAGGTGATTTGATATGAAAATAAAGTGGCAATGTAGTAGCATACAAAATCACATAGCTAGGGTGATGCTATCTACGACTTTTTTTACGCTTGTGTTCTTAATTATCTTCAAATTCCTTGGTATGACTATCAGAAGTTAAGATTGTGTGTGGATAGTACCACCCGATCTCATATGTCTTTGGCGTACCGCGTACGTATATACAACACAAGGCCGAGGCTGATTTGGCCATGTGTGTGGGTAAAAGATGAGGTGGTCCAAGGTGCTACGCAGTTTCTTTTCTTCTATGTCGCAAATTGTGCGAATGAGAAGGGCTATGACCCATGCGGCAGTGTTCTTTCTTATTTTGTTTATTCGAAAGAGTCCAGATTTGCTGGTCATTCACAATTTAACCCCCAACATTTTTAACAGGATGTATGGCAAAAACTTTGGCTTTATCAACCAACACAAGGTTTTGTTTTGTACGATTGTATGTGAAAATTTTGTAATATTTTGGGATATTGCCACTTGGAGTGTTTATATTCACTTCAATATTCGTAAAAAAAAAAAAGTAACTGATAAAACAAGATACACGACGGCAACGTAACTTCAGCCTGTCAACTGAAAGTCGGGAGTAATTTTTTAATCATTATTAAGAGGAGAAGAGAGAATTCAAAACTATTATAATAATTTAGAAGAGGCAATATGCACTAAAATATTGAATCACATACAAAAGTTGGAAAGTTAACTCATGAAAGCAAGGATATAATGTGCTCTAACCTTTTCCCCAACAAGATCCTCTCCGAATCATTTTGGTGGTTCTAAAGATTAGTGAATCGTGTCCGTTTATTGTATATCGTGCAATCAATTTTTGTCAAGTACTGTTTGTGTTTAATTTTAAATAAAAATATTTTAAATAATTTATGACCGAACGATATACGATTAACAGACACAATTTACAAATTCTCAAGACCTTCACAAAGAGAATCCGATGAGATCCGGATTCAACTTTTTCACACAGTTAAGAATGATTCAATCTGTAAAACAGTAAAGACATCCACAGTAAAATTGTCTTCTCGGTGAATATGGTGAAACTAAATAAAGTAACAAAGACAACATGCACATAAAGATGTTAACACAAGGGTTTTTTCGGGCCCTATAAAATAAAATAATAGTGATTTTTTAGTATAATTAAAATTTTAGTTTTGAGTACTAGTGATTTACACATTACATGAGAAAAATGAGAAAATTAAAATGAGAATGTTGCAAACATTTCTTGTATAACAATACGAAACCCCACACACACACACACACATATATATATATATACATATATTGTGAGGGATTTTTCAAATATATAACCGACAATAATATTTGAAATGGTGAGGCAAGGAGCCTTGCTTGAGAATCAAATAAAGTAAACAAAGAAGCTTAAAAGAGTTTTCAAATGTGAAAAATGATGGTACCAACTTGGGAAGGTTGCATACAACACACAACCAGTGGCATGGTGTGTGAGTGGAGAGATTTTTAAGTGTGTTGAAAATATAGTTTGGTATACTATGATGTGTGAGTGGAGGGATTTTTAAGTGTGCTTGGAATATAGTCCGGTACATCAAATATTATAATACAATTGGTTGAATATTTAAAACAAAAAATTTTTAACCAGTTGTATTATAACACTTGATGTACCAAATTGTGTTCCTCACACACTAAAATGTTCTCGTGTGAGTGCGTGATTCGTATGTATCTACTTTTTTTATTTTTTAATATTTCTTTCTAAATTTTTGTAGAAATCATTTCATATTTGTTTTATATACATTGTATGACTAATTAATTTGACATTTTAAAACCAATATAATCATGATATTATATTGCACATAGTAATAAATTAATGGGAATATTAACGAAAAGCTTCCGGCACTGTTCACTTTAATAAAAAACCATATTTTTACACTAAAATGTCAATTTTGGTATTATTCACTTTACCCTTTATTTTATCCTTATCGTTAAAACTCAAAGTTTTCAAACATTTTCATTAGTTTTCCTTAAATTAATAGGAATAGCATGCAAGTTTATTTCTAACTTTATCAGCCTAAATATTGACATTAGAATGTTCATTTAAAATTTTGAATATAGGTTTCCACTACTTATCATGGAAAGCGAAAGTATGGCGGATGGAAGGTTAGTTTGGAACTGCTTTAAAATTGTTGAAAACGTTTTTTATGAAACTATTTTTGAAACCAATTCTCAGTAAAAATGTAATTGAATCCTGGAATACACTTTAAGTGTTTTCTGCAAGAAATCCATGATTGGTGATTCTTGCAAAAAACACTTTTAAGTGTTTTTGAAACCCAAAAACAATTTTACTAAAAACACTTTTATTAATTTTAATAACACTTTCAAACAAATTCATATACTTTATCAAGGTTCAAAATCAATTAGAATTTAGAGGTGGACAATATAAGATAAAAATATCGCATCCAATTTCAGTTTGGGCCTGAAGTTTGAAGCATGCATGGCTATTCATTTTCAAGCATGTCAAATCTTTCATATGGCTGGAATTGAATATCATCGTGGTCAAGGAACCTAATTAACAGAAGTTAAAGTTACAAAATTTTTATTACTACACAAACGATATTGCGGGAGGAAGAATGAGCGCAAAACGCATGAGCGAATGTTATTAAGCAAATGGGTTACAAAGACTTTTGCTCACTACCCCTTTAAAATGCTATAGCTTATCGTTATTCCTACTCTTTTTTTTTAGTTGTTGAAAAATGGTGGTAAAAGTGTGGAGCCAAAAATAATCAAGAGAAATATGGTGGCGACACGTGGATTTTTTGGCTAAAAGGACAAAATTATCCTTCACATGCACCGGAACTCTCACTCGCAAGTAGCGGACAATTACCACTCAATCAAGGTCAAAAGTAATCAAAATAGGTATTTATTCAAAACATATTTCATCCATCCTCATCAAATCCTTCCCACAAATAACCCTCAATTATTCATTCAAATTAGGATTAATTACCTTAATTAATTAATTTTATAAGTAATTTCCTAATTGATTGCAATATATTATTTTGACATAATATCTTGCAATTAGAGCCAAAAACCACCATAAGTGGCCGAACCCCTTCTCTCCAAAGAGGGCCGGCCACACCCCTATATAAACACCCTCATTTCTCCAAAAATCTAGGTTCATTCTTCTTCTAAAATTCTCTAAACACTTTCTCTCTCAAAATTCAAACTTTGGCATCGGAGGTTCTTCGGCCAAAGTGCCCCCCCCCCACCAATTCATCGTGAGCATGTGAGGCTCTTGGCCTTGACCAGTAGGTGTTCATTGTTTTGCAGGTGCATTTTCGTCCAAGAAGAAGAAGACGGAAATTTGCATCCACAAAAAGCAAAAGCTCAAACAAAACTAACTGGGTCATACCAAGTAGATACTCACGAACAAGTAACTGAACAAAGAAGGAGGATTATCAAAGTAAAATTTGCCTAAATTTAAATCAAGAATATAGTTTGCTAAGGAGCATTATTAGGGTAAAGTTATAATGGCAAACTACTACAAATAATTTTCAATGGACCACTCCGTACGTGTTTTATTTATTTATTTCTTTCATTTCATTTACATTGCTATGTAGCAAAGGACTTGCTTCTTTAATTCGAGTACCTTCCTCGAGGACAGACGTTTAATTTGTTTACCTAATAGGGGAGGCTCGATTATTTTTGTTACTATTATTTCAAGTTTCAACCTATACCACACACATTGCTCTCAAATGTGCATGACTCAGGCTTTATGACTCCACGTATATATGCATGCACAGTTGACCGCAGTAGAAATTAAAATTCAAGTCCGATCAATTAGGGTTTATACAGATAGGAGCTTCAAGGGAGGAGGTTGGGGTTTTCTCAACCACCTAGCTGCTGGTGCTATTATATTGGTGGACCAACAAATATATCCCGGCCTATCTGCTTTTCAGTTTCCATGCATGCACAAAAAGTAGGGTTCCTGGGTTCGATCGATTAGGGTTTATACATATAGGAGCTTTTAAAGGAGGAGGTTGGGATCTCAACTACCTAGCTGCTGGTGCTACTATGTATATAGGTGGAGCACAGTCCACGGACAAGACAAACCAATACCATCACTATTATTTGCCTGAAATTTGGTAGCTATGATATATATGAAGCAACAGCCCTTTAGGTTTCGGGAGGAAGCTTTGGATTTCCTTTCCCAACATGTCATAAAACCAATGCCAAGTTTTTAGCCACGACATCAGACCAACCACTCTCTGCCTGTCATAAATTTCCAACACACATATGGTGAAAACTGAAAATTTGATATTACCCCTTGAAACTATATTTTCCTCTACTAAAACCCATCTCCTTTTGTTTTCTTGAATAAAGCCCATTGACTAGCTTCCAATTAAACAAATTCTTTAATTAAGTTTGACTTTTCAAATTGCGTATTTTTTGAATGCCTAAACTACCCCTATTAATACTTAGATGAGGTTTTTGGATCAGTTACTTGTTATATCCATTTAATTAATTTTATATATTTTACAAAATAATTCATGCCATTCATTGTATACTCAATGTATTAACTTTCAAATTGTTATAACGTGCCAACTGAAAAATAATAATACTAATTTCATAATTTGGTGCTTTACATATATAAGTTAATTTACCTACCAACACAACAATAAACCTAAAACAGCTTCGGCTAATATTCCAATCCCTAATACACAAAACAAAAGCTATATGTTCCACACAATTCTTACCTACAAAATAGTCTAATTTACCTATTACATCAAACCAAAATTTAAAGGGTCTAGTTTACTTTCAAAATGGTCTAATTTACCTACATGATTTATGTGCATTAGATTAAAAGTTTATTTAATTGCCTACAAGCACAAACCCACAACATTCGAACATTATCTAATATCACTATTTTTTTTTTTTTGGAATAGGTAAATTAAATTAAATGTAGGTAAATTAGTATAATATTAACAAGTAGGTAAATTAGTATAATATTAATAAGTAGGTAAATTAATTTAAATGTAGGTAAATTAGTGTAATATTTGTATGTAGGTAATTACATGATTCAAAATGCAGGTTTATTAGTATAATATTTTATAAGTAGGTAAATTAATTTGTATGTAGGTAATTACATAATTCAAACAATATTATTTTTTCCGTACAAGATTGTCTTTCTCTTTCAAATTTGGTAAATTAATTTATATATGTTGCTAATATTTATGATACAAGAAAGGTAAAATATCCATATGGATTTAATTGCTCATCATAATTAGGATGAGTAATAACATTTATTGACCAAATTAGGATTCTATGGCATAAGTTGTAATTGTATTGTAATAGTTGGTCATATATTTGTCTACATGGTAGGCTATTTGAAATTTGGGTTTTATTTGAATGTTTAAATTTAGATGGGTTTTTATTTGGAAAATAGGAGTTTCAAGGGTCTATATCTAAAGAACCCAAAACATTATTATCTTCATATATATATATTTTATGGTACTCTGGAGTATCTTTTCAAGATATTTAATTGTTAGATTTTGATTATTTGTGATATATATATATTAAAAAATCCCTATTATCTTCTCTTTTCCTCTCCTTTTCATTTCCAATATACAGTCTTGTAAGATCTATTCCATATCGTATTTCAATGAGCGGAACTGTCTAATATTTAGTTGCAGGTCTTTCCTAAAAAATCATACAAGAAATATTTTTTTGGTTGGGTAAACGCAAAATGCTGCATGCAAGATGGAGACGGGTAAAGATCATGTTGCTGCTAGGGTTCTGCAACAGTGCGCTTTGAAGTGCGAAGAGAAGTTGTTGGAGGGTGAAAACAACTTTATGGTTTTTGATTTTGAGTGTTGGGTCAATCTCAGCAGATTCTCGGGACTCTCGGCTAGGATTAAATGCAACTAGCTATAACTGCATGTTGCAGACTCGACCCCATAACTCTCTGGTGTCCAATTGTTATGAGTGGCTTTAGACTGTGATGTCCTTAGTGATGTAACAAACAGTAAAACAAAAATGAATTCAAAATTTATTAATCAATTTCCATATCATTTAAATATTGGTTTAGTCTGGACTAAAAAGCAAATGCTTTAAACCCTAGCTCAAGAATATTTGAATGAGAATCAGTTTATTTTAAGCTTTTTATCCCTCTAGGTCATATATATTCCGACTATTCCTTTTTATAGAAGAAATTCTTAAGTTTGGACGTCTAAACACATCCTAATTTGTGAGCATTTTTTTTGTTTTTTGAGGCGAAACGATAATGGCTTTATTAGCATTTTAAGAAAAAGTACAAACTTCAAATAGGGCATCTTGGATGAAATCCGAAGTATCCTCAAACAAAAATGACTCCAAAACAAAAAAAATAAGGCCAACTTGGCCAATCTAACATATACAGCACTCCAAAGCCAAAATAACTACAATCCCGTCAACTAAAAATTGAATCATTTTATAATCCGCCTCGTGGGGGACTCTCCAACAAAATCGCCAACAAAACCAGTAAGGGTACACTCTTCATACAAGTAACGCCGACTCAAAAATGGACTACAAAAGAAACAAATAGTGACCACTACGATAGAGACTTTGAATACAAAACTACCAACCAAGTTACCGGTTGCACAAGGATAAACTGCACCAATGCCACCATGAGACGTGAACAAAAGACACAAGCCCAAAAGAGAAATCTAACACGAACAAAAGCCGCACTATAACCTACAAAACCCATTTCAGAAAAATTCAACCCCATCTCTTGCCAAACCCACACTACCAGAAAAAAAAAAAAAAAAAATTAAGAAAGAGGATTTTGAGAGAATGATTGGATTGAAAAGGGACCCCAAAAAAAAAAAGTGATGGATAACTCAAATCTAAACAAGTTTAGACACAAACTTAATCACCACAAAGAGGACTATTATTGACCACAATAAATTTAAAAAAAAATGAAAAGAGGGAATGGAGCAGAGAGGAGGAGGAGGAGGAGGAGTAGAAGTGTTTCTCCTTCCTCCTTCCCTTACCGCAACTTTTGCTCTAAGTTTTCTATGGAGGCTTAAAAAATGAGGAATTTTACCAAATAGTAAAATACAATTTACAATAGATGGGTTGGCAAAATATCTTTAAACTCTTATGCTAAAATAGTAAAATTTTATCCTTTACTTCGAATACTCTCAAAAAAATTAATATTTTTTCTTCTTTTAAATACACCAATATCCTACTCTTTAAAAAGAAAGATTTATGTAGCGGATCTTTCACTTGCTCTAACTCAAAAGAAAACAGTAAAATGGTATGTCTCCCATCTCAAAGTATGTTAGATGGATTGTTAATCAAAAGGTCAAAAGGCCCTTAGTATTAAGTCTAGTAATATTTCTCTTCACTAATAAGTGAGAAATCTTAAATTCGATTATCATCAAAAGCAAATTTGAACTATATTATTACTAGTCCTTATGAAGCTTAGCTCACTCCTCACTCCTTAGTGTAGATAATATAGTTTGTTAAAAAATATATATATAAAAAGGTACACGGTCAACAAATTATGATTGTATGCATACTTAACAGTACTAATATAAAATGTCTAATTAGGATTAGCTTCTCTTTTGCAAAAGCAAATGAAAACGTGGTTTGTCCTTATCCAAGGGGCATTGCAATTTGCATATGAGTAGATGAGGATCTATATAAAGTTATATACAATGTTTAAAAGCTGAAAATTGTTCCAATATTTAGTTGTGATTATTTTTAAAATTCCATGCTTTGTCCTATTAATCATTATATCTTCTTTATTCCCCCGTCTTTACGTATAGAAAACTCAGACATCATCATACAAATAACTTTAATTTATGTTTTCCATTAAAGGAATTTTCATTTTGCTTTGGAATATCTCGGTTATTATCTCCATCATTCATTATTTTCTTAGGACTCCTTTACCTATCGGTAATAAAAAAAAAAAAAAAAAAAAGGAATGATTTCCGTTTATGATTTCTCTTGCATTTACTTGCATGCAATCCGTAAGAAAACCATCTAAAAATTTATAATGGAATAACTCAATTTAAAGAAGTTAATTAACTAGGGGAGTTGTTAATCAAATTCCCTCTCCTCACTTTTTCTCATTCCAAAGTTATCCATTCTTTATTTCCCTATTTTCGATTTGAGTATCCTAAGGGAAAAGTTAAAATGTCCAAATCAGAATTACCATCAAAAAAAGCAGTAGTAATATTTTCCAACTAAAAAGTCGAATCTAATGTGACATGACATAGATTGGCAGCCCTTACCCTTGCTGCCAAAATTGACAGCAACCTCAAAAAACTTTAAATTGATTATTAAACGCATTTTATTTAAATTTTTTTAATATTTATTAAAATAAATTAATGTAATAAAATAATAATTGACGCCCTAACTGCAATGACCCAAAAAAGAAGGGCCCAACTGAGCGTGTGATCGAATTTTTCAAGTTCCAAGTTTGTGCCAATGATTTAAGAGGGGTTTTAACAAAAAACTCATGGTACTGTTCACTTTAACGAAAAATCATATTTTTACACTAAAAAATCAATTCTGGTACTATTCACTTTACCCTTTATTTTGTCCTTATCATTAAAACTCGAAGTTTTCAAGTCATTTTTATTAGTTTTCTTTATTTAAGTTGACGAGCTCAATAACAATCCTTCTGTGTCACTCACTCAGCCTTTAAATTGTTGGGCCAACAGGCATTTGGTCCAGAGATGTTGTCAGACTCAGCCCACAAACAAACCTTCTGAGTCCAGGATCAAAGCTTCGAGCTTTGGAAAAGAGTCGAGGGAAACAGACATGGCGGCTAACTGCGCGAGGCGAACCCTACAATTCTCTTCAGCTTCTGCAAAAACCCTTCTGTCCCGTTCGCCGTCTTCACCTTTCGCTTCCAAAGCTTCCAAGCTAACCGAACTCACTTCCCTCGAGCCCGCTTCTGCTCCTCGACTCGCTGCCCAGAAGCTTAAGTTCTCAAGGTTCGATTTTTATTTTTGGAACTTTGATTTTTTACGTATGTTAGCAATTGATTGATAAAATGCAATGGAAAACTGAATTTTGGGTCTCTTGGTGATCTGGGTTTTTTATTTTTTTAGTTTTGGTTATGATTAGTGATTTTTGTTCTTCATTTTACTGAAATTTTGAGCATTGTTAGGAAAACAGATGAGTTTGTTACTAAATTTAGTATGATTTGAGCAAAACATCTCTTGTCTTCAATTCATGAACTTGTTATTGTTGTGGGTATTGAAACATGTGTGTTGGGAGGCTTTAAAGAGTTTGTGTTTTTCAATTTTAGGCTTCCGGTGGGGTTGGGCGGTGCGCAGTCGTTGATCCCGTTGCACAGTGCTACCGCTTCTGCCTTGTTGACGTCGCTCCTGTCTTTGCACAACACCAGCTGGGGGTGCCTATCAGAAGGTATTGTTCGGAATTTACGTTTGTTTTCATACAATGGATTACGTACGTGTGATATGTTTTTTGGATGTCATTACATATTATCATTTATCAATTCCGAGAATCCAACATGCCTCTCTTTGATAATCTTGTTAGTGAGAGTTGTACTCTCTGAAAATGAATAAGCATTTTATGTTGGAACATCGTGATTGGGAGTTTTGATTCATTGTCAAGCTAAAATGCTGTTACCAACTTACCATGCCATGAACGGAACTGTATTTTACTGCAGAAGAGGGTGTGAGTTATGAAATTTGTCTTATTACCTGTCTTCAAGTGAGTTGAGATGGACCTGCGTGTTATTGATGTTTGATGCTGCACCTAGTTTTAAGGGGTTGCGTTGTGCTTGCAAATTATATGCCTCATCATGCCTTTTAATATTGGTTGGGTGGAGTTGTGCTTTAGCAAGATCTGTTCTCGCTGAGCGCAATGTCTGCCTATCAATTTTGCTGCAAAACTACTAAATATGACCTCATTGTTTACTCTGTTGTTTATTTTACTGTGGGAACGTTAACCAGAGCATCAATATAGTAACTTAAGTTATAGCATTTCTTATAGTCGATACAGATGGCTAAGTTGCATGGTGGGTCAGATTTTTTAGATCTCTGTAAATCTTCCCTAGGAGAGGGAAAATAATGCTCTAGAGCATTGAGCTCTGGAGCATGTATTATGTTAAAAATTGCTGGAGCAAAATAAGTAGCTAAGAATGCATTGTTCTTAGTTTTCTTCATACATATTCTTGTGACACGGGGAAGGAAGGGAAACAAATATCTCGACTCTGGAATTTGTTCTATTATGTATAGGTAGAATGACATTCCAATTGTTTAATATACATCATTTTGATGCTCTCGTGGTTTTTTGAATGTCGTCCATGAAAACTCCTTGGAACTTTAGTTTCCTAGACATCCTTATATTAGATGCTTGGAATCTACTTCCTCATCTGGATGATGGGGGTTGGTTTTACCTGTACTTATCAACGAATCTTTATGTGATTGATTGAGCACACAACCAGAAAGTATGAAAAAACAAGAAAATACAAGGGTGAGTAAAAAAAAGGTTTACTTTGATGCTTTTGTTAATTGATAATACGTACCAAGTTAATTAAGGGTTCTGTTAATATGGCAACTCATCTTTTAATTTGGTAACTCTGGTCGCTTTCCCGTATTTCCCGTTAATAATGGTTTCTTTACTGATGGGTGTTTGCTTTTAGAGAGCGTTGTCTTTAACCATGTCAAATAATACTATCTCACTGAGGCTTGCTTATCAGATCTGACAGATCATGATTCTATGTCCTCTAGGTTCCCTTCATTTTCTCACCTTGTATATTTTCATCAATCGCAGGTTTCGCTACTCCACTATAGCATGGCCCGAGCTGTTTCTAGGTACACACGGGATCGCGGAGTTTGTTTCTTTACAGGTTTCTGTTTGCAATTGAACTTTAATGTAACCTTGAAAAGTAGATTATCGTTTCATTCTTTCTCAATGTTTTTCAGACTGTAGTTACGATGACCTGACATTCTGCATGTCCTCGTTCGAAATTTTGAAGACAAGAGATCGGGAATATCTTGTTACAACTCTGCAACTAGCTTACTGTTGTTTTTGGAACAATTGGTAAATCGGCTGTTATGCTTATTGGTTTTATTGGCAATAATGTTTGCAATACATTATTGTATCATGACAAACAGAATCTCTGAACTTCCCGACATGGTCGATTTCCTTAGAGCTCGTTTGATTGCCATTTCATTGTTAGATTTCAGTTTTCATTTTTTGTAGCGGGAAAGTATTGCAAACTTTGTAGTATTAACTTTACAATGCGGCAGAAACACGGTCCGATGCACAAAGTGTCGTAATACAAGTGGTTGGATATTTGAAAAATAATTTCAACCACTCGTATTATGATACTGGATCATGTTCTCGGCATGCTAAAAAATTCTCCCCAACTAGATAGTCTAGGTGTAACTTATATTTTTCATATCCATAAAATTTTCTCGTACTACTGAGGTTCTCTAAAATTTTTCTTGTAGAAAATCAATTGCAAGAAAATTTTTACAAAAGCATAAAATCTTTTATGTATTTGAGTCTCGTCGGACGGCATTCAGTGTGAGAGTTGCACTAGTCGGACAACCTTACCAAATATCTTCTCTTCTCAAACATTTTTAGACACATTTTATACCCCTTTAATTTCTTCCCATTTAGTAAATAACTCTCTTGTCCTTTACCTTTTTTTTAAATATATTATATAAAAATTCAAATCAAATCCAAACGAATATCAAATTAATAAATAAACAACTTTCCCCGACCCCTTTTTTGGATCTAGGTAAATTTAAATTTAATGAAAGGAGAAAGTTGTGATATTTTTCATTTTTGGCGGTGTCAAATATAATTTTATCATTTATTGGTCGACTCTTTTTTCACCAATAATTCAAAAACATTACGTGACTCACCAGCAAAATCTGACCGTTGCCTCAACGTTCGAAAATTTCTGAATTTTAAAAAAGTAACCTTTTGGCACACGTAGCTCCCGTTGCTAACGGTCAACTTAAACGTCATCTACTTCTTACCCTCAAACCCTTGAGAACTAAGAACTATCTTCAACTCCACAAAATCGAAAATCGCCACCTGGGTTTTCAATTTCCGACCACGATTGTCATCTTCCCCGTTCTCCAACCCCTAAAAGGCGAAAAATGGCAGCTTTGGCACCGGGAATTTTACTGAAGCTCATGGACGGAATGAACACAGGGGTCAAGCCCACTGGCGAGCACCGGAGCGCGCTTCTGCAGGTCACTGACATCGTGCCGGTGGACCTTGACGAGAAGAGTCTCTGGCCCACACAGGGCTTCTACATAAAAGTCTCCGATTCTTCCCACTCAATCTACGTCAGCCTCCCCGCCGAACACAACGACTTTGTTCTCAGTAACAAAATGCAGCTGGGTCAGTTTATATATGTCGACAGATTGGAGCCCGGGTCGCCAGTGCCGGTGGTGAAGGGAGCCAAACCACTCCCTGGCCGGCATCCTCTGATGGGTACACCGGAACCTCTAATGGGGCTGAGGGAGAAGGGAGAGAGAATCGAGCAAATGTCGAATTCAAAGCCTACTAGAAGGGGGTCTTGGGGAATAGGGCTTAATGGAGCTGATGGGGTTTCGTCTCCCATGGTGTTAAAGCCGGTTCCTTTGGATTTCGACCAGTGCACTCCGGTTAAAGAGCGTGGTGGAAGAAACGGGTCGATGTCTCCGATGATTAGGGGGAGAGTAGGAAGAGATGGAGGGTCGAATTCAGGCATTCGGTCTTCGGTTGGCGGTGGACTTTTGGCTAAGATGGCGGATTCCAAGGGAGGCGAAAGCCCTGCATTGCGAAAAAGCTGTGTCATGCCGTCTATGTCAAAATTTCCTAGGAGTAGAAGTGTGTCTGATCGAGAGCCAAGGATCCCAATTAGTCCCTTCAACCCAGCTGTAGGTACATTGCTCCTCTTTAGTAGTATTGTCTGAGCTGCACCAATTGATTTTTCTGCTAATTAGAATTTTTGTTTGTTGAAGAATGTTTGATTTTGTTTGTTCAAGTATGTTGGATTTGGTTGGCTGAGAATGTGAATTCTTGTTTTATTGTAGGAAAAAAAGAAGACCTCGACTCCACCACCGCGAAATGCAAGAGTGGGAACTTCACTCAGTGTGGCTGGAGATGCTGCACAGAAATCCTCCAACTCGAAGGACATGAACGCGAACTCTCAGCAGCAGCCTCAGCCTGGTAACTTGTGCAACGAAAACAGCACTAGCCTCTGCCTCCCCGTGAATTTACCAGGAAGGCTCAGCTTGCTCGGCAAGGTAAGCACTTTCATCTCCAAGTGTTCTTTCTAGTTTATGACCGAAACCAAATTTTTTTGGGTTTTGAGATGAGATTATGTTTATGCAGGAAGCTGTGCAGCATAGAGAGACTGCTCAGAAGATTGCCCTTAATGCACTCAGAGAGGCTTCAGCAACCGATACCCTAGTTCGATCTCTCAAGTAAAGCGAATACCCTCCTTTTTCTTATGGTAGTGCAAAATTTAACTTTGAGATATTTTTTAGCTAAAGTACCAATGCTTGCTTTTGCAGGATGTTCTCAAACTTAAGCAGAACAGCTAAAGCGGATGCCCCATCAACCTGCTTTGATAAATTCCTCGAATTCCATCACCAAATCGTCCAATCAGTTAACGATATGGTATCGATTCAAGCAGCTACTTCAGCTTCTGAAATGACTCAGACTACTCCAAAAGTTAAGCAGCAGAAAGATAAAGATCAAGATGATGAAGACTATTCTGTCTTGCACGAAATTGTTCAAAACTCCGTGAACTCAAAATTGAACCTATCGAAAAGAAGGCACGCTTTGTACAAGTCAGTTGCAGCCGTTCCTGAAAGAAGCGAGCAGAAAACGACAACGTTTGAGAAGCTCCTGAGAAGCTCTACTCATCAAAAGCCGAAAGCACCATCCACTCCACTTGGAAAGCTGAGCCTTGAAACCATTGGTGAGAACGACGAAAACAAGAAACCGGCTTCTGCTAGTTTAAGCAGCTTAAGCAACACAATCAGGTTGAGTAAGCAGATCGAAACAGAAGCTGGGAACTGGTTTATGGAGTTTATAGAGAAGGCATTGGAGACGGGGATGAAGAAATCAAAAGGCACGACAACGGATAAAGATATCCGAAAAGTGCCTCAATCTCTCATTCTTAGATTGATTAATTGGGTGGAAGTAGAACAGTGTGACAGCAGCAAGCGGCCTGTGCATCCGAAAGCAGCGCAGTTGGCTCGAAAGTTGAGGATCAAAGTGAAGAATCCTTGAAGTGTTGACCTTGATTGTGTTTGTATTAGCAGTACCATTATTTGTTGAATTGAATCTCTTATTTCCATATGTTTACTAGCATGTACTCAAGTGGTTAGTAGAGGGTGTAGTGTATTTTACTTGTGGAAGAATACACGTGAATAAAGTTGTGGAAGAAGTTCAAATATCTTGAAACTAAGGTTGTAAATCATTGATTACAATTGTTTAAATACGAATTAATGAATTATATTAGATTTTGAACGGAAAAATATATTTTGAATAACATGAATATGATAGTTTGTTGTAGTGGTAAGAAAAATTAACAAACATGTAAAAAAATATTTAGATTCTTGGGGTGCCAGAAAGTCATGTGACTTTCGGGCACCCTAAGAATTTGAAACATTTTTTGGATACTTTTGTTGATTTTTCTTTTATTTCTCTTACCACTAAAACAAAATATCATATTCTTGTTCTTTAAAATATAGTTTTCCGGGCGTGGAGCCCGACTCATTTTATGAGCACCTAAGAGTTTGCCTTGTTCTGCGTGCGCGAAGCCCACCTCGTCTTATGTGCTGGTTCGCCGCGTTCTGTATGTAAGGTGTCCACATCGTTTTATGTGCCAAAAGCCCACCCTCTTTTGCGTCCATGGAGCTCGCGTTGTTTTGGTGTACACGAAGCCAACCTCGTTTTACATGGGCATAGCTGGCCTCGATTTGTGCTATGTATCCCTCCTTGTTTTCTGTGCGCGAAGCTCGCCTCCTTTTGCGTGCCAGAAGCCTAGACCTTTTTCTTTGAGCGGAGCCCGCCTTATCTGGCGAGCCATGGTTCGCCTCATTTTGCGAGATGAGTTCACCTTGTGTTACGTGCGTCGAGCCCGCCTAACACTCATGTTTTTTGACAAAATGCAAATTTTTTATTTTCGATAGATATTTTTCCTGAGTATTAAGTTAAACTTTTTAAGGAATTTGGAAGTAATTTTACAATTTATTGAGGAACAGATGTATATTTAGTTGAATATTTGAGCCAAAAACTAAAAAAATAAGTGAAAAAACATTCCGAAAACTAAAAAAAATAAGTGAAAAACATAATCGTGAGGCCTAGAACATTGTTACACTCAAGAATCTCAACGGAAAGTCTCACCTTAATTTTCAAAACTTCACAGTTAGGCAAAGGTGAATAAATAGGTTGAACTGTGATTTATGTACGAATTTGCAAAACCGACTGAAAATCATGAGTGTTAATCCACGATTTGTAGAAAATGCAAATTTTTTTTATTTTCTCGAAATATTTTCTGTGAGCATTAAGGAAATCTTTATAATGTATTTGGAATGGGATTTACGATTTACTAAGCAACAAGTTTATATTTAGTAGAATATTTAAGCCGAAAAGTAAAAAAAATAAGTGAACAATATAGAGATGTTAAAATGTATATTTAGTGTATATTTTTTTATTTTTTAAATTAGAGATGTTAAAATCACCTAAGGTGAGGCTTGAACAAAAAATAGCAAAATTTTGTTTTGTTAAATAGTCTTTCACCCGCCACTTAGTACTATGGTCTAGTGATATTCCTCTTCACTTGCAAGTGAGAGGTTTTATGTTTGATTCTTGCGCAAAGGCAAATTTGAACCACATTATTGCTAGCTCATTGTGAGACTAAGCTCACCCCCTCCCCTTAGTGTAGATACTATCGTTTGTTCAAAAAAAAAAAAACAAAAAAACAAAGAACTCTTTCACCCTCTTTTGGTTGACAAAGTGGTTTTATTACTATGTAGTTTAGAATTAGATAAAATAAAAATTAACAAAAAAAAAAAAGTTCAAATATCTTTAAACTAAGGTTTTAAATCGTTGATTATAAGTGTTTAAATACGAATTATATTAGATTTTGCACGGAAAAAATATATTTTGAAGAACATGAATATGATAGTTTGTTATAGTGGTAAGAAAAATTATTTTTCTTTTATTTCTCTTACCACTACAACAAAATATTATATTATTGTTCTTCAAAATATATTTTTCCAGCCATGGAGCCCGACTCATTTTATGAGCACCCGGGAGTTTACCTCGTTTTGCATGTGTGAAGCCTACCTTGTCTTATGTGCCTGGTTCGCCTCGATTTGCATGTAAGGTGTCCGCATCATTTTGCGTGCTAGAAACCCTCCCTTTTTGCGTCCATGGAGCCCACGTCATTTTGACTTATACGAAGTCAGCCTCGTTTTATGTGTGCATGGCTGGCCTCGATGTATGCGATGTATCCCTCCTCGTTTTATGTGCGCGAAGCTCGCCTCCTTTTGCATGCCAGAAGCACACACCATTTTCTTTGAGTTGAGCCCGCCTTATTTGGCGTACCATGTTTCGCCTTGTTCTGCGAGCTGAGTCCGCCTCGTGTTGCGTGCATCGAGTCCACCTAACACTTATGTTTGTTTGACAAAAATGCAAATTTTTTTTAATTTTCGCTAGATATTTTTCTTAAGCATTAAGTTAAACTTTTTAAGGAATTTGGAAGCAGTTTTACAATTTATTGAGCAATAGATGTATATTTAGTTGAATATTTGAGCCGAAAACTAAAAAAATTAAGTGAAAAAAACTAGTCGTGAGGTCCAGAACATTGTCAAATAGGTTCTATTGTCACATCTCGGCCCGACGTCCACCACATCATGGGCCCGCTCCACCACCGTAGCACGATATTGTCCGCTTTGGATCCCGACCACGCCCTCACGGTTTTGTTTCTAGGAACTTACACGAGAACTTCCCAGTGGGTCACCCATCATGGGAGTGCTCTCGCACGCTACTCGCTTAACTTCAGAGTTCCCATGGAATTCGAAGCCAGTGAGCTTTCAAAAGGTCTCGTGCTAGGTAGACATGAGAATATACATATAAGGATCACTCCCCTAGGTGATGTGGGATCTTACAATCCACCCCCTTAGGGGTCCGACGTCCTCGTCGGCACACCACGGCCAGGGTTAGGCTCTGATACCAAATTGACACACCCCTACCGGAATTAAGGCGTGACGAGCAGCACGCCTTGATTCGGTCAGGGTGTGTCAGTTTAGTATTAGAGCCAGGTTAGTTTATGGTTTATGATTGTGAATTAGTGGTTATGTGAGATGCATAGAGAGCTCATAACCTGCACCCCCGGTGTTAGTGCTCCCGCCCAGAGTAGGGCACAGTCCTTCACGTGATGTTCACCTCCCGCATCACACGATCATCTTGGATCCAAGTTAGGTGCACAATCCTGTCGTACAGACCACTATAGGTGGTTCCGACTCATAGGTGACCCACGACTATTCGCTCAGTCTTCATGTGATCGTAGCACTTGAGCGTATTTATTTACACCCAGCCCTATCGTACAGACCACTTTAGGTGGTTCCGACTCATGTGCAGGTATAGTTAGTGAGTTGGGGATTTGAGCTCTAGATTCAGCCGTACATGTCACGTTAGATGACTCCGGCTGACATGTTACTTGCATTAATTGACATTACCTGGGTTACTTACAGTTTATGTGGAGGCATTCGACATGGCATATTTCTGAACATGGTTTTGATATATGTGTATATTCTATTTTCTAGGAAACTATACAGGTTTTACGGCGAGGGGTTAGAATTTTTGATAATGAAATGATTTTGAAAAACTTTGTTTTTGCCCACTCACACTTTCGGTTTTGCGCCCCTCTAGGTTCTAATTAGAAGCAGCTTTGGTGGTTCACGAGGACTTGTCAGTGGTTCTGACAAAACATCACAAATGTAGGATCACCTTTGGGTGTTGTGTATTTAGTATTCGTTCTTCTGGATTGCACTTAGGTTTTCTGTGCTCTGATAATGTTTATCTCACTTTGTCTCAACTAGTGTGTTACATTAACTAGTTTATTTAGTAGTTTGGTTTTTATTTATTCGTACTTTTATTTTTATCTTTTGCTTCTGCACTGTGCACATGATTCCGGTTGGGGTGTGTCATCTACACTCAAGAATCTCAACGGAAAGTCTCATCTTAATTTTCAAAACTTCACAGTGAGGTGAAGGTGAAAATAAATAGATTGAACTGTCATTTATGTAAGAATTTGCAAAATTGACTGAAAACTATGAGTGTTAATCCACGTTTTTTTTGTAAAATATGCAAATTTTTATTTTCTCGAAATATTTTAAGGAAATCTATTATAATGTATTTGAAAGCAAATCTATGATTTATTGAGCAACAAGTGTATATTTAGTAGAATATTTAAGTTGAAAAGTAGAAGAATAACTGAACAATATAAAGATGTTAAATATATATTTAGTGTATATTTTAAAATTTTCAAATTAGAAATGTTAAAATCACATGTAAGTGAGGTTTAAACAAAAATTAGTAAATTCTTTTTTGGTTAAATAATCTTTCACTCTCTTTTGGTTGACAAATAGATTTCCATTAATAAATAGTTTAGATTTAGATAAAAGAAAAATTAATAAAAGTTTAGATTTCCATTAATAAATAGTTTATATTTTAAAAAATATGAATATTATTATTTGTTATAGTAGTAAGAGAAATACAAAAAAAAAAAAGGTACAAAAATAATTCAAATTTTTGCGGGTGCTAGAAAGTCACGAGTGACTGGTAGGGGTGCAACTCAGGCGGGTTGGAAGGTAAACCTAATCCTAACCCAACTTTTACAATTCGGGTGCGGGTTCGGGTTGGGTTTTAATTGGGTTCATTCGGACTCGGGTTTAATCGGGTTCGAGTTTACTTGGGTTGAGTTCGGGTTGGCCCAACTTTTTCAAAATTAAAATTCAATTCTGCAAATTGTATCCGTTATAAAATTAAATTAAATATGAATGTTTCAACCATGCAAAGTTTGAATTAAAATACAAGAAATACCAAAACTAGTACCAAAAGAAAAGAAAAAAGAAAAGAAAAGAGGAACACTTCGTTGAGAGAGCAGCAGTTGCAAATTTTCATGGGCTTTCAGATAGAGATGGAGAGCCGCATAATGAAATTGGAGACTAACAATTTAATATACCACTTTAGGGTTTGGAGGGGCAATTTATTAAAAAAATATATTAGAAAGGATGTGGGTTTTTGGACTTGGTTAATCGGGTTGGGTTGGACAAATAATCAACCTAACTCAGCCAAATCAATGAACGGGTTGAAATCAAATTGAATTCTGAGGGTTATAACTTATAAAAAACCTTCTTATTCGAATTTAAAGTCGGATTGAACATGAACGGATTTGGATGGTTCCAACCAAGTTGCATCCGTGACTGGCATTTGCAATCGGTTTTACGGTTTATCGAAAACCCTGGAAAAGCCCGGAAAACCCCGAATTATTCCAAAACCTGAACCCCGCCAAGAATCCTTCTGTGCCCGCCCAGCCTCTGCCCTTTGCCTTCTCCAAGCCGCCGCCGGCGAGTAACCTTCTCGATCGCTATCTTATTTTTCATCTCCCATCCAATCCAGGTTCCTCTACGTTTCGAATTCCAAGTATAAAGTCTCAAATTTTCAACACAGAGACCAAATTTAGGGCTTAGGGGGTCGTCTTTGTTTCTATGAATGGATCTTCTCCGAGCATACTCTGATCAAAACGACGACGAATTGAACGAGCCCGAGGAGCAGAACCAAAACCCTAAATCCGCACCGTCGTCCCCAGACTCGTCGCCGCCTCGCCTCCTCCCCGCCAAGTCCGCCGCGCCCAATGTCGACGACACTATGCTGGCCCTGACGGTAGCCGGGGCCAACCGGTCTTCCACCCGCCCCATTGACCCGACCCAACACATCGTCGGCTTCAACCCCACCTACGAGCAGCTATGGGCACCAATCTACGGCCCGTCTCATCCTTACGCCAAGGATGGCATAGCCCAGGGGATGCGCAACCACAAACTCGGCTTCGTCGAGGACGCCTCCATTGAGCCCTTCGTGTTCGACGAGCAGTACAACACGTTTCACAAGTATGGGTATGCTGCTGACCCTTCGGCATCTGCTGGGTACAATTATGTAGGTGATTTCGAGGCCTTGCAGAAGAATGACGCCGTTTCTGTGTATAACATTCCCCAGCACGAGCAGAAGAAGCGGAAAATTGAAAAGAGAAAGGAATTGGAGGAGAATGAGGGTGGGGATGAGGATATGGACCCGGAGGAGGTCCAGAACCCGGCTAGTGACGTGTGGTTGATGAAGAATAAGAAGAGTCCGTGGGCGGGAAAGAAGGAGGGTCTGCCGACGGAGCTGACTGAGGAGCAGAAGAAGTACGCCGAGGAGTATGCGAAGAAGAAAGGTGAGGAGAAAGGCGCTGGCGATAAGGGCGAGGCTGTGGCTGAGAAGACTACGTTTCATGGAAAAGAAGAGAGGGATTATCAGGGTAGGTCATGGATTGCGCCGCCGAGAGATGCTAAGGCATCTAATGATCACTGTTATATTCCAAAGAGGTTGGTGCACACTTGGAGCGGGCACACGAAGGGTGTGTCTGCTATTAGGTTCTTCCCTAACTACGGGCATTTGATTCTGTCTGCCGGGATGGATACCAAGGTGAAGATTTGGGATGTTTTCAATACCGGTAAGTGTATGAGAACTTACATGGGTCACTCGAAGGCAGTTCGGGATATTTGTTTTTCTAATGATGGGAGTAGGTTCTTAACTGCTAGTTATGATAAGAATATCAAGTACTGGGATACAGAAACCGGGCAGGTGATATCTACATTCTCGACTGGGAAGGTTCCTTATGTGGTTAAGTTGAACCCGGATGAGGATAAGCAAAATGTGTTGTTGGCTGGTATGAGTGATAAGAAGATTGTTCAGTGGGATATGAATGAGGGAAAGATCAATCAAGAGTATGATCAGCATTTGGGTGCTGTGAATACGATTACATTTGTGGATAATAACCGTAGGTTTGTTACTTCCAGCGATGACAAGTCGCTTCGCGTATGGGAGTTTGGGATCCCTGTGGTTATTAAGTATATTAGTGAGCCTCACATGCATTCCATGCCATCAATTTCGCTGCACCCCAATTCCAATTGGCTTGCGGCACAGAGTATGGACAATCAGATTCTGATTTATAGCACTAGGGAGAAGTTTCAGCTCAATAAGAAGAAGAGGTTTGCCGGGCATGTCGTTGCCGGGTATGCTTGCCAAGTCAATTTCTCGCCAGATGGACGGTTTGTCATGTCAGGTGATGGTGAAGGTCGATGCTGGTTTTGGGATTGGAAGACATGCAAAGTCTTCAGAACTCTCAAATGTCATGAAGGGGTATGCATTGGGGCAGCATGGCATCCCTTGGAGCAAAGTAAAGTTGCAACATGTGGCTGGGATGGCTTAATCAAGTATTGGTAAGTAAAGTTTCATTTCTGTAACACTTTTAATTCGCTTTATATGCATTCGTATGTGCAATATTTGGTTTTCTGATTCACCTGTCTAAGCAGTTTCAACATTTGATGCCAAAGGTTATGTGCCTATCGTATCTGCTAAAAACTAAAATGTATAAAACTCATGCCAATTTTAGATGCGCGACAACTGATATAGCCAAGTATGGTTTATTGATGTAGTACTATGCTCTGACATATTGTGTATTTAGTAAAAATTTAGGATACCAAACTTGACCTTTTTCACATCCAACCTCTATGTTTGGGACTAGAAATGTAGGATACTAAACTTCAGATATTTTGTGTTTCTACCGCTCCAGAAGAAACTTTCTTTCCTCCATCCATCTCATGGATATAGGTGGAGCAGGGTTAGAAACTATTTTCTTATAGGGCAGGGATGGAAAGCAATAATTTGCCTCTCTTAGGATAGTTTTATATAAAGGAGTTTTTATTTATTTATTTTCATTTCCACTATGAGTTTGCGGGGATGGGAGGAATTTCGTCCCACCAGTCTTGAACTGTTAGAGGGAAAGCGTACACTCTCCCTTCTTCCTCACCCATCCATCTTTGACCTAACCTTATGTAGGAGGAAAGAAGTCCATAACTTTTCTTTTCAAGGAACTTGTACAATATGTATATCTTTCCATTTGTTAATGGTACCCGTTGTCTTTTACCTGTCAACGCTTAAGTCTCCATACGTAGCCAATAATTTTTTTAACAGCCTTGTCCAATTAGAACCAGCATGATAATGATTGGAAGACAGGTTTCACGTTTTTCTCTCTTTCCTTCCTGGTCGTGCTTCAATGTCTTGGGGTCAAATTCATTAGTTCTCTTTCTGTGCCTGTGTTGTATCTTTGATTTAATGTCTTCACTTTATCTTATCAAACCTAAATGGATAAATGCTGTTGCGGTGAAAGGAGTATCTTTTTATCGTGCAATATATTACTTAAAACGAGTTAATAATGGTAGGTTTCATCTTCCGATGGATCCTTTGGTTTCACGTATTGAGCTATATATTATATGGGGGATAGTTTTAACAAAAACCAAGTGCGTCAATTGTTTTCATATTTCATTGAGAAATGTTGCAGTTGCTTTACATACATGTGCACGCTTGCATTCTCCTTTTAGTAAATGCGTGTCTGATTAATCATTTGTCTGGTTTGCAGGGACTAGCCGCATTTCAGTTCAGTTTGGATAAGCGGGGCTATAACTTTGATTTACCCATTTCTGTTCCACACGGGTGTAGCGCCATCATCATTGGATGTACCCATCTTGGTGATTGCCGGGCATAAGGATACTTATAAGATTGCAGGACGAACTCTCCTTCTTTGTCTTGCTACAATCAACTGCAATCACCGATATCATCTGGTTACGCTGGATATGTACTTGTAATACAATGTTTTCGTTTTGATGTTCTGTTCTTGTAGTTTTGAAGATTCTGAGAAGTTTTACAGGAGTATTGTTTTTTGCAAATGTCTCATTAATACTCGTAGTTTTTTAAGACTTAGAGAAGTTCACGGCTAATTAATCTTGTATCCAAAAACTGCACCTTCACCATATGGCACAATTCATGTTGGACATGAAAGCTTTTGTGGTAGTGAAGGACACTCTTTCTAAACAGGATTTTGCATCTCTTTTTATACACTCGACATTGGGGGAATGCATATTCAAACATATGATGTGAATGATGCTAACCGTTTGAGCAACAAGATCTTGAACAATGTGCACGGTTTTATTGAAACATTTAATGGGTTTGGAGTGATTGAAATATTCGACTTTGCTCAACATTTTATCAATATTCTTCAATGTGGGACATTGCAGAATAGTAGCGAGATGTGAGCGATCAATTACTAACTAGTTATTCACATCTTGCAACTATTTCGTGAACAAAAGGGCCCTTGACCTGTAGATTGAGGAGTGTTTATGCGGTCCAGCACGGGGAGAGGACGGGTCCAAATTGTAAACTCAAATCGGGTAAATCTTTGTGAGTCGTGTGACATAAACAACTCGTCCTTGGCACCGCAAAAGTCTCGAGAGTTGAACACTAGTGAAATATTCAGTTCTTTTAGACCAAAAATTTGCCTACACGAATTAGTCCTCAAAACGGTGTCATTTTAAGTCTAATTTAAAGGTTTTGTATCCCGGGAACCTACTGGTTTACCGCTATCGTCCCGCGAGAGATGGGCTCTATGTGGTTGAGACGAATCCTGCTCAGCCCAACCTCTCTGCCGCCGCAGAAGCCTCCCATGGCCGCCTTGTTAACCCCTGCCACACTTCAAAACCCCGTCTCCTCTCCCTTTCTGAAACCCTCGCCGGCATCTCTCACTCCTCTTGCCTCCTCCCACCGCCGCCTTCTCTCAACCGCCGCGTCCTGTTCTCCTCCACGTCCTCTCGTCTCCGTCGACGAAACTTCCTTCGAATCCGGTGAGCACACCTTTGTTTCTTCGAGCAGGCTCTTTAATTTCGATTTTTCTGTTCTGGGTTCATCTTCTTCTTGGCTCTGATTTCGTCTGCCCTCTGGTCAGCAGGAGGTGAAAGGAGTGGGATTACGAACCGGAGCTCGAAAGTGCTTCTCAAGGGCATGCGATACGATGAACTTGAAGTAATTCTTTCTCATCTCACTGTTTATTGCCCACGTCACTTATGAATGTTGCTCCCAAGTTTGAATCCCGCTCTCCGTAGATTAGATTAGTTTAGAATATCGTCTTGTCGAAAATGTGTTGCTTATGATTTGTAATGCATTGACAGAAATGGGTTCAGTCACATGGGTACAGGCCTGGCCAGGCTCTAATGCTATGGAAACGTATATACGGGAATGGTATTTGGGCGCATCACAGTGATCAACTAGAAGGTTCTTCCTCCTACTTTTCCTTATCCTGTTAACCCAATTCCACTTGTTTGTGCTTTATTCAGTTTCCTCGTGAATCTTGATGTAATTTGATTTCCGGTCAATGAATTTCGCTCGCCATTTTTAATGTGTAGGCTTGAACAAAGATTTTAAGAAGATGTTGAGTGAGAGTGCTGAGTTCAAGGCATTGGCTTTGAAACAAGTTATTACCGCGGCTGATGGAACTCGAAAGGTACATGGATTCATTTCCTTATGCCCCCTGTATTGCTTAACTATCATCGTACGTGGTCTTACTCTACTCGGTTAAAACTGCTTTTGGGAATATCATATATGGCTTTAGAAAGTTACTAGCATTTCTTAGGGAACCTTCTCATTGATTATGAAACTCACAGGAGGTTTCAGATTCTGTTCACTTTGGAAGATGGATTGGTGATAGAAACTGTCGTCATACCTAGCATCGCTAGTGATAGTCGTAGTAGGAATACTGTTTGCGTTTCGAGTCAAGTGGGCTGTGCCATGAATTGTCAATTCTGCTACACTGGCAGGTAAGCTTCATTCTTCTCCTCTAAGCTGTGAATTCTACGTTCTTTCAATTTCCGTAGCCCAGATAATCTGAATGTTGGTTCTAAATCCTTCCATTTGCAGGATGGGTCTAAGGAGGAACCTGACTGCAGCTGAGATTGTAGAGCAGGCTGTATTTGCACGGTCCTTGTTCACAAGTGAAGTTGGCGACATTACGAATGTTGTATTTATGGTAGGTTAGGAGTTCACAATACATTTTCACATGGATATACGTTTTTTTTCATTAACCAAAATAAGAAAATCCTAGCTCGTTTCTCTGTCATCTAGACCAAGTAATTTACTGAACTGGCATTATTCATTAGGTATAACGGATACTTTCATCCTCTGATAATACGTGTAAATTTAAATTTCTAGGGAATGGGAGAACCACTTCAGAACATTGACAATGTTCTTAAAGCTGCTGACATAATGCTACATGATCAAGGCCTATATTTCAGTCCTCGAAAGGTCACAGTTTCAACAAGTGGGCTGGTTCCCCAGATGAGGCGTTTCCTTAAGGAATCTAATTGTGCTTTAGCCGTTAGTTTGAATGCAACGACAGATGAGGTATTTACATTCATTTTATTTGAATTGGCAAACCACATGTATATGTGGATAGAAGAACACACTTGTACACATTTGCACGGGGGTATAACCTTTGCACAAACATCGCATCTGCAGGTCAGAAACTGGATCATGCCAATTAACCGGAAGTATAAATTAGACTTGCTTCTTCAGACCCTTAGGGAGGAACTTCGCTTCAAGAATAACTACAAAGTTCTTTTTGAATATGTGATGCTTGCAGGAATAAATGATAGGTAAATTAGGTTTTCGACTTCCTGCTGTTTGACTCAAATATGTCGTATCTGAAGTTTCTTTTCTGTTGTTTGTTTTGGTGGTTTGACTCTGTTCTTGGCATAATGCAGTGTGGAGGATGCGAAGAGGCTTGCTGATCTCGTTCAGGGAATTCCATGCAAGATCAACCTCCTCTCATTTAACCCTCATAGTGGATCCCAATTCAGACCAACCAGCGAGGAGAAGATGGTTGAGTTTCGGAATCTCTTGGCTGAGTTAGGGTGCCGCGTCTTCTTGCGGTCGAGTAGAGGTGATGATCAGATGGCTGCCTGTGGTCAGCTTGGCAATCCCGATGTGGTCCAAGCTCCCTTGCTTCGCGTACCCGAGCAATTCAAAATGGCAGTGGAAGTCTCTGCGTGATTCGATTATCTGGACATTATATTCCTAAATCCTCTGGATGAAGCATGCTAAGCACGCGTTAGTTTGACTGCTCTGCCCGGGACCTATCTCTTGTGGTGCACCGCCATGTAACTTCGTTACCTGGCCTTCTTGTTATTCACGTTTCGTGTCACCTTGTCCGGCAGATTCAAATTAGCTTTTGCTTGTATGCACATCCGCCTGAATGCCCGTCTTATGGATTACCAGTTTAAGATATTCGACGTCTTCTCCGAACAGAAAATGTAACCTGTTTATTGTGCGAAACCCTTCTTGAGGAAATATTCTGAGTTTCTCCTATGAAAGTAAATTCTCGTAAGATTTTTTAGCTAAAATTGTACTGGGATTTGCATAACTCTTCATTTTGATCTCTGAGATTTGAAATCAATAGAAGTAAATTTGTTCACCATCAATCATTTTTGTCATTCCATGAAAAAATTCCATTAAATAAGGCTAAAATGATAAAAATACTTTCAATTTTTATCAAATCATTTGGCCTATTGTTTATTAAATTGAGGATATTTTTATCATTTTGGTTCTTATCTAATATAATTTTTTATGAAATGACCAAAATGATTGATGATGGACAAACTCAAGGCCATTTTTATTGATTTCAAATCTCAGATATCGAAGTGATGAGTTACGCAAATTTCAATGATCATTTTAGCTAAAAAGTCTTTCCATAATTATTTTTTCGCATGATGAATACATGGAATATTGTGTGTTGATGGCAGATTTTGCCCTCACCTCATTCCATACCTTCTCCATTGCCCTGCACCCTTAAACCAAGGGATATGTCATGCCCTACATCCTCTATATTTTGCCTACAGATGGATGTCCAATCAAGAATCCATTCTCTCCACGATATAATCGAAGTACAAAGACCAATTTTATCAAAAATTAAGAGTTATGTGAAAGGTTAAAAAAGATGTGTGGATAGCACCGTTCTTATTATAATAACGAGTTCATGTGAGTATAACCATGACTTTACCCTCTGAGTGAAAGTTTGGTTAAATGAACTCTCTTGAAGGTGCTAGATAGGTCGTTGTAACATAATTATGAATGCAATTTTTATTTGATAAAAAGTATAATCTATAATATGCATTAAGATTAAATTTAAAAATTAGGTCATAATATGATAGCGGAATTGTGACTCCATTTTTTTTATACAACTTTTGACACGTATTTTTGTGGAGTACACTCTATATTGTGTTTTAACGATTCAAAACGTCTATCTTTTAGGTCTTCCTCCAAAAATATGTCCATAAAAAATATCAAAATTTGAAACCATATGACTATTGGATTAAGGGTTTAGCATTATTTGTCCGTACTCGTCAATTTTTGTTACAAATAAATGTCTTAATTGATTTGGATTTGTCTAATTTTTTGTAAGAATAATCTATAAATGATGTTCAAAAAGTTAAACGGTTTAGATCGAAAATATATTATGAAGTGGATCTCACAAAAATGTGTGTAAAAAAAATGTAAAAAAACAAATGGAGCCACGTGTCCGTCGTTCAATACAACAACTAATTAGGATGACCGACGAAACCTAAGTAGCTAAGTAAGGAGCACGTTAATCAGTTTTAAAAAGTAACCTCGTTCCACAAAGTATGGATTAGACGCTTCATTCCTTTTCTTTTACTTTTTTTGAATAAAGTAACGTTTCGACTTTCTAAACAGCTGGCCACCTCTTCCACGCGCCGAAGAAGGCCCGTAGGGGCACGAAACTTTTTTTGGCGGCAACTCCTTTCTCATGCCAACACTCCAAGAATTTGGCAGCCATAAAATAAAATCTCCTCCAGTCCGTTCCCTCTTTCATTTTCGCATTTCCACTTTAACCGTCTCTCTCTCTCTCGCCTCCTCTCGTTCTCTCTCTACTTTCTCTTCAAATCCTAGCTTGCAGTCCAGATTCGAAATCGTTAGGTTTTAATTTCCGAGCTCCGGTGCTCTTCTTTCCTCTGTCAGCGTTCGAAGTACAGTAGCGGTGAACGAGCAATGGGAACGAGTGGGAAGGAAGACTCGGTGCAGTTCACCGATTGCATCTATCAGGACCGGAGCTTGTCGAAGCATGTTCGCGATAACGTCCATGGAATCATCTATCTCGAGCCGGTATGTGCCTCGATTCCGCCGCTTAGTTTCGTTTTTGCGATTTCGCGTTATCTGTGATGATGTTGTTTTCGTGTATCGTCTCTGTTTCGTGCCATTGTTCTCGGAAATCAGAATCGTAGATTTGAATTGAATGCGAGAGCATTTTGTTTTCGAATTTTGTGTTTTAAGGCCGCTGTTGTATCGAATAATGCGATATCGATATCTTGCTGCAAGAACTGTTTGTTTTGGTTTTAGTTTAGTTTTCTGCTTTGATTTGGCTCGTAGTTTAGAGGAATGCATATTGTTTAATTAATTTCATATTCATATGTTTTGAGACTGTTAATTGCGATTTTAAGTTTAAAGCGATCGTATACATCAGCTTTTCTGAAATCGCTGGCGTTGATTTCTGCTGTATTTGGATCATATTTCAGAGCATTAGGAAATTGTTTGATGAATTTAGATCGCAAATCATCTCGAGCATGTGAATCAAAACTTTTTGTTTTGGTAGATCGAGTTTGAAGTGAGTTATAGCTTTACAGGTAATATATTTGGACCTAAAGTTCTGATTTAAACTGATTGAGGTAAATTATTAGTAATTTTGTTGTCAACTAGTTGTTTTGTTCCATTTTCTGCTTCGGTTTAAGTTTCAGAGAAGACAGATTTTAGAACTGCTTGAGGATTTTAGGTTCACATGCTTTGGTGTAGAAGTAGAACTGAGACTGAAGATTTTGTATTCTGAGATTGAGGATTTTAGGTTTAGATGCTTGAAAATTCAAATAATAAAGTTCCAAGTCGAAGAAGCATAAATTCTCACATTAATAGTTAACAAGTGAAATCTAACTTTTGATAAATAATGGAAGTCGATAAATCATAGCGGATATGGAAAAAATTGTCTTTTGTTGAATTTGAATTAGGCTTGGATTTGAGGTAATGATGTGTTAAGGCTCATCATTTGAAATTCAAATTCTCAAGTTTATTGTGATTTTTCATTTTAATTTCTTGGGTGAAGTATTTAAATATGGATTTCTTGCACATTGACTTTTGTACTTGTACTTACCGTAAACATTGTACATTGCCTTCAACTTAGAATGTAAATTAACGAGTCATGGAAGTTATGTTAAATATCGTATCAAATGAATCTTTCTGTTGGTTGTTGCAGCTTTTCTTGAAGTTCATCGACACTGCACAGTTTCAGAGGCAAGTTTGATAATATTCTATGCAAGGGTCATTTTCTCTTGAGTAAGTTTTTGGATTTCTTTTCCTGATATTGCTGTCATTTTTTGCAGGCTCCGTGATCTTAAACAACTTGGTGAGTTGAACTTACTAAATGAATTAGCATTAACAAATGTTAGATTTACAGATAACGGGGATATTAAATTTCTAGATATTAATTGTTGTAGATATGCTGACATAACCTATCTCTTTCCCCAACTTCTTGAAATAAGTTGAGTACCAATTTCGTTTTGTTTGTGACCAACGGGAGTGGGATTGTGTCTGTGTGTATAAGTACACATATTAAATGTTATCTAATATATCCTCATCGTTTGAAATCACCTTACTACATTCGTCTGTACCTGTTCTACCGATGTATTTCTATTCAATACTTCAGGTTTGATTTTAATCTTACTTCTGATCCAGGTCTGACAGACATGGTTTACCCTGGGGCTGTACATTCTCGGTTTGAGCATTCACTCGGGGTGTATTGGCTGGCTGGTGAAGCTATCAATAAACTTAAACTCTACCATGTAGGAATTTGTCATAACAGCCTAATCTTTCTCATTCTGCAATTTATGAATAAGAACTCATTCCTCTTTCATCTGCCATCCTTGTAGGGGGACCTCGAAATTGATTATTTTGACAGGAAAACAGTAAAACTTGCTGGTAATGAATCTGTACCTGCTGTAATAAATGCTTTTCTTCTTGTAACCCGGTCCCACATCTCTATTTTTTGTCAAATCTCTTTCTAGGACTACTGCATGATATCGGCCATGGGCCGTTCAGCCACATGTTTGAGCGCGAGTTTCTTCCTCGGGTTATTAACGGTTGCACATGGTGATTCTTACAATCTTCAAGTGAATTTAGCTCCATTTTTCTTGTACAGTAGAAGAAGATTGCATTTTACAAACTTAAACCTTTCTGAAACTAATATCACTGCTTTTCTGTTTCATTTATGACTTGCATATGCAACATGTCCATGTTCTTTAGGAAAGAGATACAGCACACGGATCTTTTCACTTTCTGTGAAATTAGTTTGTGCAATTTTATAGGGATACTTCATGTTTGTTTGGTGGTTGTAAATGGTATATGTTTTTAGTCAGGATATCTAGTCCACTTTTAGGGTTATAACTTTGATTGCTTTCTAGGTCTCATGAGGAGATGTCTGTGAACATGATCGACTACATTGTTGAAGAGAACAATATTGATATTGATTCTGCAGTGCTTAAAAGGGTGAAGGTTAGTTTGTTTTGCCATTACCATAATTTAGTGAATAGCACTTGTTTAATGATTGCATTGTGATATCCTTCCATGTATTCCTCATCGATGTCTTTATTTCTTTGCAACCTGCTGAGATCACTTCAACTTCTGTACAATTCTTTGTTGGCTCAATATGTGTGAATATGAATGCTGATATGCTTTATTTATAGTAATAATGGATTAGGATTTAATGTATTGGGAATGTAATGTATCTTTACAGGAACTGATCCTTGCTAGCTCCAACCATGGGGAACAGAATGTAAGTTATCATAAAGTTTAAGGCTCAAATTTTGAGATTTCTTCAAGTATCTCAGAACACCTTACAGACTACTTTTTCACTTTAATGCTCGCACTCTACATTGGATTCCTTTAGTGTTTTATCCTTAGCCCTTTGCAATATGCTAAAAATGCAGAGTGTGACAAATAAGCGTTTCTTGTATGATATTGTTGCAAATGGGCGAACTGGAATAGATGTTGACAAGTAGGTCACTTGATTTCCTTTTATAGAAGGTCTGGCATTTCATTTGGAAATTGCTACTTGTTATCTGACAATGCTAAGTGATACATATGTCATCTCTCTACAGGTTTGATTACATGGTGCGTGACTCCCGAGCATGTGGTATAGGCTGTAGTTTTCAGTTCGAAAGGTATTTATAAGTTAACAATTCACAGAGCACTTAAATTCATTGAAGATCCATGACGTCCAGTACACTCAAAGTTTTGAAATTTCCATTTGTGTAGAAGTTTAAACTTGGTGGTTGTGTTATTTGTACGGACTTGATGTTTTGAAACTATTACTTTTCCCATAGTGAAGATTTTTGCTGGAACATATTTTTGTTCTTTCAAATTGCAGGCTGATGGAAACTATGAGAGTTATAGATGATGAGATATGTTATCGCGCCAGTGATTGTGAGTATATATTGAATATTTTTTTGTCACTCTCGCAACGCAATCGTTATGGTTCTTTAAATTTTATTTGATATCATGGGCAGATCTGACAGTCCACAAGCTCTTTGCCACTCGTGCTGATCTGCATCGAACCGTGTACACACATGCTAAAGTGAAGGTCAGAGATAGAACCAAAAAAATTCGCTGAAGCATCAAAATTATAATGGTACTATAGATAGATTAACTTTTCTGATCTGCCTCTGGACATCTATGTTTTCACAGGCTGTTGAACTCATGGCCATCGATGCTATGTGCCATGCAAATAGTGCTTTTAAAATTGCAGAATCAATTCAAAGCGCAGCTGAGTTTTGGAAGGTGCAAGTGCTTTATCATTTAGCAGAGTTTTTGACTAGGGGTTTTATCATTGTAGCACTAGCGTTATCTGTGTTAATCTACAGTTGGATGACACAATTTTGAAGAGGATTGAAACTTCTGATGACCCTGAACTCAAGGAAGCTAAGGATTTGATCCATCGCATTCGAAGAAGGGATCTTTACCAGGTACCCTTATATGTCCACCCCACAAGAAATAGGTCCTGTAGTATTACATTGTTTGCGTGTCCCAGTTCTTAGCGTTTCCTAGCGTAATTCATTAGGCAATCCAGTTTGTTACAATTTTTATTTGCTTTGGCAGTTCTGCAACGAGTATTCTGTTCCAAAGGAAAACCTAGAACATTTCAAAGACATCACGCCTCAAGACATAGTTTGTTCCCAGGTTCCAAATATATTCTTAGTTTCTTACATCTTCCTCTTTCCGTTATGCTTATCAAGTAGATACATGATACCTTGTGCCTAATTTTCCGTCCAGAATTCTGGTAGTGTTACACTCAAGGAAGAGGATGTTGCAGTCTGCACTGTTAAAATTGATTTGACTCATGGAAGGAAGAACCCTCTTGAAAGGTACCTTATACTCCTAAATCATATCATGATTATTATCAAGCCACTGCTTGTCTTCGTATAACATCATTAAATTTGCTTTTGGTAATTTTGTTTGACAAATAATTTGCTCTCCTTTATGCATGCACCTGCTCCTCCAGAATCAATTTTTTCAAGGTACTTTCGACCTACATATGGCTTGATGCCCCGTATTTTACTCATCTTTCAAGCCGCTGATTTAATGAATGAATAAACCTCGTAAACCGCATGATCGCTGCAATATGTGGCAACCGCAGTGCATATATACTGTAGACGCAACTATCGAAAAGATTTTAGTGAATCGTCAAATTTAACCTGATCATAGTTTTAGCATTTGGACATACTGCTGATATTGAAATCTGTGGTGTGTTAAACTGTGGGTAGTTGTGTACTTTTTGGCAATCATATTCTTCCGTTACTAATTTCCATGGTAGAACGAACGGATCTGGATATGAAATTGTCCTTGAAACAAGTTAACAGCTTGAGAATCTCTGTTATTTTTCTGAAATTCTTGAAGTAGACGGTACTTTCTTCCGTAGGTGGTTGAATTTTACGGTGTATTGACGGGCTTGATTTTTATCAGGATTATGAGAGTGCTCTACATGGTGAAAAGTTTCAGATCCAAGATGATCGCATAAGTCACTTGCTTCCAACATTCTATCAAGACAAGATAGTCAGGGTGTACGCGAAGAAGCCCGGACTGGTTCGCTTCTTAGTACATGCTGTGTTTGTTAACTTAATCGCGTATTCTGTATTAATTTCTTATGACTAACAAGCGATGATGTAATCAATCAGGTTGAAGCAGTTTCCGAGGCCTTTGAGACTTATCAGATGAAGACATACGGACGGACAGAACAGGTACATCCAACTCCTAAGAAGAAACAACGCAAAGCCTGATTTCGGAACATAACCACCGTGACCAATGTGTATAAATCCTCATCGTATATCTGATTCATAAGGATACGTATTAGGTATACCGGTATACGTCTCGGCGCTACCACATATTTTGGATTTAGGAAATCTGCAACTTTGTAAAATCCACTATAAATCTACATTTTATCAACTCTGTAATGATCCACATGCTGAAAAAAGCCATGAGAAAATGTATATATACAATATAATCTTTGCATCTCTCTCTCCCCTTTAATTCATTTTATATTTTACATAGTAATTTGCCATATTAGTAGAGAGAATTGTTTACGGAAAAATAAAATGAAATATAAAAGTTTTTGGGCTTGGATAAAAGTCTTTCGGCCCAGAAAGGACACAAACTCCTGATGAGCCGGAAGGGTTTCCTATCAATCACAAACAATCCAACTTTCTTAACAAAAGCCGTTAGATTATTTGACCTTACAGAATCCAATGGCTCTTATTTACATGTGTAACCTAAATGTGAACGTTTAATGTGCATTGTAAAAGGAATACAAAAGGAAAAGAAACACCACCGACGAACAACTCTATATATACACAACTAGACCAGAAAATCCAACTTTTCGCAATTAAGTAGGCTACTAGCTCTCTCAAACTACTTGAAACAAACATGGAGGGCAAACGAGCAGGCTTTGGAAGTGGAAAGAAGGCTGCGGGCAATATCGACATACAAAGTTTGGACCAACAGTTGGCGAGGCATCTCGACCGACTATGCTCGATGGAGAAGAAGAAGAAGGAGAAGACGAAAGAGTTGCTTGACGGCCAAGAAAGCCAAGTCATCAGAGACAACAACACCAGAGTTGTTGCGGCCATCAAGCCGGCAAAAGAGGAGGAGGAGTGGCAAATCGTGCCGGATAAACTCGTCGTGAAGCAAGTTTTCGCCCATGGAACGTTTGGTTCCGTCCATAGAGGCCTCTACGACGGCCAACAAGTCGCAGGTATATATATGTCGTAATTACTGATTACATCTGCTTAATTACTATATGTTTATATGTGCATGGTTTAATTAATCTTTTTCTTTCTTAATTAAACAGTCAAATTTTTGGAGTGGGGAGAAGAAGGCCAAAACACAAAAGCTCAAATAGCTTCTTTGCAAAACGATTTTAGACGGGAGGTTTCTGTTTGGCATAAACTTGATCACCCCAACATTACCAAGGTACAAAAATCATTCAGTTTTATTTATTTATTTTTTCTTTTTCTTTTCCTTTTCTACAATTAAATGTAAATTTTATTTTAATTTTTGTTATGTTATTAAAAAAAATCTTTAATTTTATTTTTCCAGTTCATTGGAGCCGCAACAAATACATCAAAACTAAAATCCCACGGTAAGGTAGAGATAAGCCCTAACTCCGCCTGCGTTATCGCAGAGTATCTTTCCGGCGGTACTCTAAAATCTCACCTCATAAAGCACCGGGAAAGGAAGCTGCCTCACAAGACTGTCAAACAAATGGCACTTGATCTTGCTAGAGGGTATCACAAATTTCCCTACATATATATTTGTCTTTGTAATTTGGCCTAATCTTCGTCAGTGTAATTTTATTAATTTTCTGCTATATATGAGAAATTAATGATATATGTGTTAATTTGCATGCAGGTTGAGTTACTTGCACAGCAAGAATATTGTTCATCGAGATCTGAAATCGGAAAACCTGCTTCTTGACAAGGACGGTAGGGTAAAGATAGCGGATTTCGGCGTTGCTCGTTTCCAGGCTTCGAATTCAAGCGAGATGACAGGCTACACCGGCACACCTGGATACATGGCGCCTGAGGTAAGTTAATATTACCTGCACGGAAATTAAAAGTAGATATAAATGTTTCTGGGAATATTACAATATTCTGAATGTCCAGCATTATTGTTCGAATAAATTGCTTGTCCCCTTTAAACTCTCTCCCTGTGGCCGAGTCAGTGTCAGCATTTTTTCTCATCCATTTATAAACTTTGAATTGTTGATTTGGTTTTGCAGTAATCTAACTAATACCAAATGTGTTAATTGCAGGTCATAGAAAATAAACCATATGACAAAAGATGTGACGTTTACAGCTTCGGAATTTGCTTATGGGAGATGTATCGCTGCGATATGCCATATCCTAACGTCGGATTCTCAGAATTGACTTCAGCAGTTGTGAATGAAGTACGTACGTATGTGTACATATCGTGTACAGAAGAATTTCAATAGCTCTATTTCCGTCTTTGTAATAATTCATGTAACGTTAAACTTACAATGCTTTGTTTTATTTAACTGCAGAATTTAAGACCAGCGATACCGAAGGGTTGCCCTAGCTCCTTAGCTAAAGTGATGATCAGGTGCTGGGATTCAAAACCGAACAGAAGGCCAGAAATGGCAGAGGTTGTCTCGATGCTAGAGGCAATTGACTTTTCAGAAAATAAAGGTTTGGGTTGCTTCTCCATCTTCAGCTGCAAACAGTAAGGTAAATCAATGGGAAGATAAAACGGAGCTCCAACAGACCAAGAACTACGAGATCGCTCTTCATTCTGGGGCAACGGAGGGAGGCGCACCATTCGAAAGGAAGAAGGCGAAGTTCTTTTTCCTTTCCAAACGAATTGTCAAATACACACACTATGTAGTAAAATTTGTATATCACTTACATGTGAAAGGCTAAAAGTGGTTTTGAACTGACGTTGCTTATGTTGGTGGAGCAATTAGTGAAGCATAAGTTGGCAAACTCACCAAAAATGGTCAGTAATGTAAACGACTATGATGTACGCCTTGTCCTGGGCAAACTGGCATCCTCTCAGCTCTCGAAGAAACGGCATTTTAACCAGTTTTCCAGGCTATACAATGCTGAAGTCAAAAGATCATTTACACCGCGTCTGAGCTATATATACATCGATGGAACACCTGATTCAATGCTGAGTTAGTTGCTACATGTGTGCACCGGATTCAAGTCAGTATCCCATCCGCCGATTCATTCTTCATAGATATTCTAGAGAATATAAATGCAAATTCATGTCAAGAAAATCTACATATACTTGATACAATGAGTTCCTTGTCATGAACATTATGGATTGATAGTTATTCACTTATTTGTGAAACTTGAAATTGCTTTATCTATCTTTCCAAATCTCTAGTTTTTCTTCTTCTTCATTTTTCTCCAATTTCAAAGTTAAAAAAAAACAACCAAACGAACAGAATGATCTGTTTTTATACTTTTTAAATTTTAAGAAAACCGAACTAAACCAAACTAAATAGTAACTTTAGTTTGGTTTTTAATTTAGCTAAAAACTTAAAAACCAAACCATATTAAAACGAACTCGCCCCTATTATTTACGGTCTTCTCAATGTTTAAGAAATTAACATTTGAATCTTCACCCAAAAAGGGCTAGAGACATTTTTAACCTATCAAGTTTGAAATCAATTTCAAAAAAAGTTTATGAGATGTTACTTCGTTCACAGTGCACCTTAACCCTTTATTTTGTTTTTGGTAAAGGTGCACCTTAACCTTTTGGACATTGTTTGATTTGCCTACCGCCAAATTTTGCAGCTGCATTTTCATTGTGGACAGGTCATCTTGTTCTTTTGTTTTTTTTTTTTAGTTTAGTTTTTATGACTGGTCTGTGTTGTTTCGGCAAATGATTTCTGTTGCTTATGCGATTTTGTAGCCTCGTTGTCTTGCGATGGTTTTGGTAAGGGTTTCGGTGCTTGGTATGTCACACCTTGTCTATGGGACATATCAATCTCGGGATTTCTCGTTCTAGTGGTTTGATTTGTGTGATGGGCGTATAGAGATTTAAAATTATTTGTAATTTGTGCTTATTACCTCCAGATTAAGAAATTAATCACTGGAGTATATGTATCCATTTGACATCCTTGTAAATGATTGGTTATAGTCATGAAATTCTATCGTTTCTGTCAAAAAAAAAAAAAAATTTGCACATTTTGTTAAGTTGATTGTCTAATCAACCATAGTGCTCCTGTGTGCCTTTTACATGTACCAGTTGTTCCAAAAAAATATACCCACATTTTATAGGTGTGTCTTGCACTTACAGCGTCATTAGTTAATAGTTGTCTGACTATGAACCTAAAATGTGTACATTAATAGAATGTCAAAACATCACAAGGAACATGAGAAAATTGAAAATTCCTTGTTCATTTTTTTAAAATTGATACTTTACTATGATATGTAGATATATTTTTTAATATGTTGAGAACACGGCTTATCCAAGTATCATAATACAGATAGTTCAATATTTAAAAGTAATTTTTAATCATTTTTATTATGACACTTAAGTATACTGCATTGTATTTTCAGCGTACTGAAAAATGTCTAAAAAACATTCAAAAAGAGGAATGCTACATTTGGATTTGGATCTTTTCCGAGGCAACTAGTAGGGATCCACTTGATCAGTGTTAGTGGACCGTTGGATTTTTATCCATCAGTTACAATTATTATAACTTTTAAAAAACTCTTCTATTTATAGTCGTTGAATAAAACGGTTCATTAATATTGCCCAGAGGATCCCGACCAGTTGTCTCGGATCCAAATCCGTCACATTTAAGGCCAATTGGTCTTTTGAGTTATCACTGACCAATTAGGGGCCGACACGTATGCCCATAACGAAACAAATTTTACTTCTTCCTAGACACAGACTCATCCGCTTCGGCTTCGTACATAAACTCGCCCTCAGGTCTCTCAATCTGTCACTCTCCGTCTCCATCTTTCTCTCTCCTAGGGCACAAAAACAGTGAAAATTCACTCACAGATTTCAATTCTTTCCAGCCATGGCGGACGCTCCTCCTTCTCCCGCCACAAACGCAGAATCGAATCCCCAATCCGATAACCCCAATCCCCAATCTAACCAACCTGATCCCGTTCCCGCCGCCTCCACACCACCACCGCCACCATCACCATCATCGTCGTTATCTTCCACACCTATCCTCGTAAACCCTAATTCGAATCCGCCTCTAGTATCTCCGCCACCTCCACCGCCACATCCTTCGATATCATACGCGCCGCAACAGGTTTCCGGCGCCTTACCGCCGACGGCGCCTTCGTTCCGGCCGGTTTCGCAGTTCACTCCAATACCGAACCCTGGCGTGCCCAATCCGAATTATCACCTCCCTGGTGTCCAGCCGCCCGGTGTGAGCTCCGGGGCTCCGATGGCTCCTGGTGTGCCCCCGCCGTCCTCGGCCCCGCAGCATATGATGCATTATCAGATGCAGCCTATGAGACCGTACGCACCGATGCCTAATGGATACGCAGCCATGCCCACTGGTGCTCCTCAAGGCGCTTTACCTGGTGGGTTTTTGCTTCTCTGTATAATCCCTTAGTTATTTCGTATGGTTTTTTTTTTTTTTTTTGCTACCCAATTTCAATGCAAAGTGTCTTTATTTATCGTTGGTTCTCGTTTTGCAATTGCTTGGTGTTGTTTTGCTATGAGTTGTTCAAGAAATACTAGGGGTTTTGGTTTTTGTCTCGAAAAAGTGAAAAAAGTGGATTACTTGTTGAATTTATGGATAGCAATTAAATTAAGACTAGAGGTATAATACAGTGGGAAGCGTTTGTTAAGGCAGAGTTCGGAGTTTGATAAAAAAAAAAATCCAGTGTGGTAGATTAAGGGTATCCATGACAAGATGTTTTCTCCTACAGTGTCTTGATTGAATTCGGTGAGAAAGGTTGGATGGCCTGCTTCATATTGCTTTGAGAACTCCCCATCTACAACTCCTTTTTTGGTATGCACATATTTTAAAGTTTTATGCAAGCTCAAGTTGGTCATGGAGTTCAAATGATATTTCCAAAATTTGGAAAAATTACTGTTCAGTTTGTCATTCTAAAGTTACATTACTTTGTCATGTTTATTTTAGTAGGATGCTTTCTGTTAGTTTTAAGGATACTTTCCCTTTCATGGGTTTATGAATTGCCAGAAGCAGACCATGTTTGCAACTGAGTGCTCATTGCCCTTGTGTTCTAAGGTATCGCAATCCTTCCGACTGAAGTCTCTCTATCCATAGATACATATTTATGTCCATCATCTATCCATCTATCAATCAATCTATTTATATATACATTTAAACATCTCATCATGTGTTTATTTGTGTGTGTTTTTATACTTTATGCATGTTTGTTATGTTTTAGTTTTTTAACTAATATTGTTCTCATGCTGCATGGCACGATGCTAACTTTTTTTAGATGAATTAAACTTTTAACATATTAAATATGTATAATTCTCATCAATGCATGAGATGTTGGAGGTTTTATTTTACTTGAAAAGGCTACTTTGGTCCAACTGGGGTGCGCAAGGTAAGCACAATTTACTCATTCATGGTTTATGAACACGATGTTGTTTCTTAATGTTTCCTTCAGGTTATCTGTTCAGCTGGTGGTAGTTGCTATGCCTGTGCTGCCATCTCTAATATGCTTTTAATGTGTGGTAACAAAAAATCATTATTTACAGTCATATTGTTTTTCATACATTTGTTTTGATTGGGGGATGGTCACCTATTTATCATTGGATGCACTTGATAAACGTTCTCTGACGAATTTGCAAGATATTTATTTATGTTTTTGTAGGACTTCCTCGTTATCCTCCATATCCAATGATTCGGACCCCGTTTCCTCCACGCCCACTGGGAGCAACTGGTTTGCTTCAGCGTGCCCCTGTTCCTGGTATTCCTGGAGTTCGCCCGATTACCCCTCCTGTTAGGCCTATTCTTCCTATTGTCACCCCAGTGGAGAAACCACAAACCACTGTTTATGTTGGGAAGATAGCACCAACTGTGGACAATGAATTTATGAAATATCTCCTCCAGGTGTGCGGTCAAATTACTGCGATCTTTGTTGTTCTATATTAACTTTCCCACTCTTGTTTTATGTTACCCAAATTTATAAATAATTTCATATAAGTTTTTGGTGAATGATTTTGACTTCTGATGGTTTTACCTTTTGTGAAGTTGTGTGGACCTGTCAAGAGTTGGAAGCGTGCTCAAGATCCCACAGATGGGACTCCTAGAGGCTTTGGGTTCTGCGAATTTGAATCTGCTGAAGGGGTTCTTCGGGCATTACGTCTTCTCACCAAATTGAGCATTGATGGGCAGGACCTTGTGGTATGTGTTGATTCTTATTTTATATCATTTCATTTGTCAGTTTCATTATGTGGTTTTTTATTGTCATTGTCGTTATGGTGCAATGGAAATTTCTGTTCCTTGGTAATCATGCTATACATACTTCTCTACACGTTTAACTTTGCTAATATTTTTCTCATTTTATACTTGCTGTTGTAAACTTAAACAGTTAAATGTTAATCAAGCAACAAGAGACTATCTGGAGAGGGTTGTCCAAAAGAAGACTGAAAACTCAAAGAAGCTCAAAGAAGCTGAAGCAGCTGAGAAAGGTGATGGAAGTGCACCAGACGTTGAGAAGAATGTACCTTCAAATCCTTCTGTACAAGAACCAAAGGAGGAAGATAGTAATTCAAGTAACAAAGAAAATGACACTGCCAATTTTGGAATTGTGACTGACGAAGACAAGGAAGCTGACCGGGAGGCTATGGAGAAGCTTACAAGTTTGATAGAGGAGAGAATAAAAAACAAACCTCTCCCTCCACCACCTACACCAGCTCCTGGTGATGGTACTAGGAATTCAACCTCAATGCTGCAAGCTAAATCAAGGGATGGAGACTCTGATGTTGATACAACGAGAAATGGTAAGTGTCATGTTTGTACTCGGTAAGTGATGAAGTTGTTTAAAGTCAATTACTAGTGGCATTTTTGCTGTCATACTTATAGTTGGTACTTTTAACTTTTCAGATGCTTGTGAAGAAAAAATTGATGAAGAGATAACTAGTGACAACAAAACAAGTGAACAGGAGAGGCCTGAAACAAGCTCACCTGATAGGAGCAGAAAGCAAGATAGGAGCAGAGACAGGGGGCGAGATATGAAACGCGAAAAGGAGCGTGAGATTGAAAGATACGAAAGAGAAACAGAGCGAGAACGGGTGCGGAAGGAGAAGGAGCAAAGGAGAAAAATCGAGGATGCTGAGCATCAGTATGAAAAATGTCTGAAAGATTGGGAGTATAGGGAAAGGGAGAAAGAGAAACAGAGGCAGTATGAGAAGGAGAGGGAGAAAGAGAGGGAACGCAAACGGAAGAAAGAGGTAATTTATGAAGAAGATGATGAGGATGAAGATTCCAGGAAAAAATGGAGGAGAAGTGCATTGGAGGAGAAGAGAAAGAGGAGACTACGGGAGAAGGAAGAGGACTTAGCTGACAGGCAGAAAGAAGAAGAAGAAATTGCCGAGGCCAGAAAGAGGGCTGAAGAGGAAAAGCAGCTGGTGCAAGAGAAAGATGCATTAAGGGTTTCATCTGGCCATGTACCAAATGGAAGTGACACAGCTGCTTTGGCTGAAGAATTCGGTGTGGAACTGAAATATAAGGCAATTGAACAGGACATTGAGGGTTATTCTGGTCCTGAGAATCGTATAGGTAAAATTACTCATGAAATTATTTATTGCTTTTATCGTTCTTTTCTTTTGCCCTTCCTTGCCTTTTGTTTTCATTTTTATTCACGTTGCTTGACTTTGACATGACAGGTGATGGGGCTTTACAGAATGGTAACAGTGGTGATAAGTCAACCATGACATCTGCTTCTGCATCAGAACCGCATCTGAGTGGCAGTGCCCCAGCAAAGAAGTTGGGTTTTGGCTTAATGGGTTCTGGAAAACGTACTGCTGTTCCTTCTGTTTTTAAAGAGGAGGAGGATGATGCACACAAGGACAAAAAAATGAGGCCCCTGGTTCCAATTGATTATTCAACTGAAGAACTACAGGCTGTCCAACAAACTGTTTTTGGGACAGCTCCATCAAATTTGGCTGCAGCTGCAGAATTCGCAAAGCGAATATCAAATGCTAGTTCTAAAGAAGAGAAGCCAGATGCGGAGAAGGAAAGAAGTAGACGTACTGATGATAGGTCAAGCCACCGGGATAGGGACCGACATGGTGATGACTCTAATCGCACTAGAAATGAGCACAAGGAAAAGACTATTGACCGTGATACGGACCGAGAACGTGGGATGAATAAACCAAGGGCAACGGATAACAAGAAGCTTTTGGATGCAAAACAACTGATCGATATGATTCCGAAGACAAAAGAGGAATTATTCTCATACGAAATAAATTGGGCTATTTATGAACAGGCAAGCACGCCTTAACCCATAATACTAAATTCTTTTGTTTAAACTTGCACAATTTGCTTGGTGATCATTCATTCACGTAGTCTACTAACTGCTGGTAACCATGTTTGATGTGTCTGCTTTCACAGCATGCACTACATGAACGCATGAGACCATGGATTTCGAAGAAGATTACGGAGTTTCTGGGCGAGGAAGAGACTACGCTGGTAGATTACATTGTATCTAGTACTCAGGAACATGTCGGAGCAGAACGCATGCTCCAGCTGCTTCAATCCATTTTAGACGAAGAAGCTGAAATGTTTGTGCTCAAGATGTGGAGGATGCTCATCTTTGAAATTAAGAAGGTCGAGACAGGTCTGGCTTCAAGAACAAGAACTTGATAGTTTTTAATGTCACTTGTACTTTTGCTTGCTGTAGACCCAAGTCTGGTTAGTATAATATGTCCTTGGCCTCCGCCCTCGTTGACTAGGATGGGTCGCATAGATAGCTAAAACCAAATTCTTTCTGTTTTTATTGCTTCCTGTTACATTTTGTTCCATAAGCAAATAATGCCCTTTTTGTCTTCGTCGATCTTGCTGGTTGTTTGTAGCTTTGGAATCTGTTAGATGTCCTCGCGGTGATTCTTTCCAAAATTTTACTTGTATTTACGTCTGGCGTTTTCAGTCAGGCCATGGTATTTTGAAATGCATGACAGGGAAATCCTTCCTACCATTACACTTGTGTTATTCTCTTTTAATTATTTGTATTTTCAATTTAAACTCTCGTTTTCTCGTTCTGTACTTCTCCCTTTTTTTGTGTTCCTTGATCTTCTTTTGGTTTAATGAGAAAACAGACGTGCGAAAATCACGTCTTTAGCAGTAGAACGTGGAAGCCCGTAAGCCAGAATTTGAGCTAGTATCGTTTCCCATTCTTATTCAGATTTACAATTCATAATCCGTGTTTAAGAAACAAACAGAAATACTATTAACAGTAGAATTACCAAGCTAAACAGGATTAGGATACAATTGAGGCATCAGATGACCCAGAACCAAGATACAACTGAGCCAGCAGCCAAACCCAGAACCAAGAACAACACGATCACAATCCCTGCCGTCTCGGCATGTTGGAATTGGACAACTTTGGGAGCCAAAATCATCAACACGCTAGTCAAGTAGCCGTTGGTGAGCCCCAGAAGGCAAGTTAGTATCGTCACTGGAATCTCTGTTCGGAAGAATTTGGGGCCGTGCAAGCACCCATAGAAGAGAGGAAAGAAGAGCAATCGCACAACTGTACTGCCGATTGCAACCTTGGAATTTTTGAGGAGGCATACGGAAGTCAGAGACTTGCCAACGAGATCAAACACATTGTAGCCGGTGATAAGGATGATTGGGTACCAATCCTTGAGAATCTGAGAGTGCACGTCTTCAGTAATGTATCCTGGAAATATCGACAAAGTCACGACATAGATGAGGAAGATGCTAATTCCGTACCACTTGACTCTGTCGACTATGTGCCACAGAGTTGATCTCAACACAGTCAGAGTCGGAGGGCCTCTCTCTTCTGTCGCATCGTTTACAGCCTGAACCTTTAAATCTGCATAATACTTCATAACTGGAATCCTTGGTGCCACATTGTAGAAGACAATGCATATGACAATAATGACTATCCCAACAGCGAAGTAAAGGTTCGCACTTTTCCTCAGGCCATCGGTATCTTGTGGATATACAGCCTTGGTTACGATCCTCAGAGCAGAAACAATGACTCCTGTAAGATCATTCAAAATTTGGGGAGACCTGTTAGGGAAACTCTGATGAACTCGTAACCAGAGCAGAAAGACTAATATGCTTCAAAGTGTGTTTCGTTTGATACTTCCATAGAGACCTAAAAGTGCTTGTGACAATCGAAAGCGTTTCTATCTACATTTGGCAGAAAAACATAGTAGCGTTCTATGGAGAAGGTGGTTCTTCAGACTTGCAAGCGCTTTTCCAGGTTGCGGTTAAAATTTTAATAACAATTTCAACGTGTTTCCTATTAAAGCACTTCTAGCAGAAGCACTCATGACCAGAAGACTTTCCCAAACGGCCATTCGGGTTACAAAGAGACGCAGAAAATCAAGCGAAAACAACTGAGATTAACTAAAATCAGGATTTAATTCAGAAAATGAAACAATACCCAGAAACCAAAATCAAACAAAGAGCAAAACCCAAAAACTGAAATTCCAAATTCGACCGGAAAATTCAAAGGGCAGGAGTTTTACCTGAACCAGCAGTCCCGGCCACAACGGCTTGCATATAAGTTCCGGGCAACTCACTAGCCGCCCCAATGAGAGAGCCTTGAACCAAAGCATCCGCCACGGCGGAAAGAGCAACCGCCGCAACCGTCACGTAAAACCCGTCGTACAACCCGACCCGACCCTTGATGTAAAAGACATCCATGAGGGGAACGACGAGCAGCGAAACGACGAAGAGGCCCAGGCCCACATTGATCCGGACATAGGCTTCGGACTTGTGGGAGTAGAAGATAATCAGGAGGAGGCAGAAGAGGCCCACCACCATGTAAACGACGGAGAATATACGGTCGACGCTGGCATCTGGATAGAGGTAGGCGAAGTAATCGACGGCTGTGATGAAAGCGTTCCATGGGAGGAGGTAGCCGACACCCAGTGTGAAGTAGATGATGTAGGCGAAGTGGAACGAGTCCTCTGGAATTTTATTAGGTACGGCGGCGGCGGCGGCGCTTACGGTGGGGAGGAGGAGGCTGGTCTCGGAATTTTCATCGGTGGTTTTGGCATTGAAACCCATCGGGAATCGGTGGATGTTTCTCAATGGGTTTCCGGGTTCGGTTCGGGAGAATGGATCAGCTGAGAAATTTCAAAGCTTTTAGCTTTGATTTTGGATGTGACTCATGTGAACAAAGATACTTGGAGACGGAGGTTTGGTAGGACTGTTAGAGGTGAAGATGGAATGAAGCGTTGTCGTTTTGGTCTCCAATTATTGCAAAGGAATGTCATCATGTGCTTTTTCCTTTGTGGGAGTTTGAAGAGATGGGCCTTTTTTAGATTCTCACACTTAATTTTTGTTTGTTAATATTTTTCAATTTACTCGATTCGACGGTCGAAAACAAATGAAGTATGAGAGAAGTAAAAAAAGATATGTGAATATCACATCCATTTTTTTATTAAGGCAACCAGGTTTTGGGTTGCAATAAGTAATCAGACTTCTTTTTTAAGAATGTGTTGTGGGTGAAGAATTTGGACCATCTTCTAGTGAAGGAAGCGGTAAAAATTTTCTGTGCAGGACGTTTCTGTTTATTGAGAAACGGATACAGTGTCAACTAGATCAAATATGCATGATCAACTAGTGAAAATAATATTTTGTCTAATAGTATTTTCTTTTTAATTCTTGATGTTGAGAGAATTTCAATTTTCATTTTTGAGTTGATGGACGGATTTTACATTAGAGGCAAGAAATTATTGTTAAGCCATACATTAAGTCGGCATAACAAATTAACATAAAACTCGCCATTTACAATAATCAAACCCAAAACTTTCACTTGAAGTTCGCAAGAATGGGCAACTTGGGAGGGGCATTCCCATTTGGCACTCTGCATTGACTTATTTTATTAAGCTATCCAAATTGCACAAGTGGTGTTTGTGTGGCATCAAAGTTATCACATTTGTAATCTTCATCAAGTCAACACAGTTCTTAACAGATTTAGAAGATACTGTGTTTTTGGAATTGCGACTTTTACAAAGTAATTTCATACTATTATAAATTAAATGATATTCGTTGGGTGATAAATATGCTTGTCAAAACCATAGAGACATGATCATACACCAGCTCAAAGTCTCAATTTTCAAAATTGACCATCTACAACTAAAGTTAAGTATCTTAATCTTCAATGCTACATCCGTCCTTAAGGAGGAAAGCTTAGTAGGGTCGTAGAGCTTCCTGATTAGGGGAACTCTCATATTAGGTGAGATCAGCGTGAGGTCGAGTGAGATCAAAATATATAAGGTCTGATAATTTTTTTTAAAGATGCCTTACAAATGACGTGGTTGGTATCCTTACATAGAGTTTTCTCGATTTTTGGGTTAAGTTTCTTGTATTCATTTTACCAGCCTCCATCCTTGTTTAGATTAGCCTGCATAAAGACATGCCACAACAGAGCTCTCTCACCGGCTTTCTCACTTCTGCATTACCTCACAGCCATTCGCCTGGTTTGCATCTTCCAACTTCAAATCTCTCTCTCCCTCCCCCTCCATGGCCAAACTTGTGTAAAATTTTCATTGTCTTAATCGAATGAAGAACCGCGAACTGCCCCTTATGATAGTACTCTTCCTATTCCTTAGCGTCTTAACCTTTTCCTTCTCAAAAACCCTAGATATTGAGTGTGTACTTGATGTCCAAGACTCTTCAGCATGGCACAGGCACGAGTAGTGAAGCTGGAAATTGGGGTGGATTTATCAACAATTGTTGCGAGCAGCTTTCGATGATTACTTGTACACCTTGGGGGACAGGGCACCTCTTCTTAAACTCGACAGAGCAGACAAACTGCTTAATTTCAATGAAGGGTATAAAAGATGATGTTTTGAGTTGTGGCATTGACAAGATAACAAGTGGAGCCGGCGGATGCTCTGACTACACGAAGGTAGATGTTTTTGATAATCTGAGGAACACATTGGAAATCTTAGATGAAGGTTGTAATCTTTTGGGACGGGTGAAAAGTTCAAGAAGGATCAGGCTCGTAGTGCATGTCTGAGAAGGTGGGAAGAGATTGTAGCATCAACGGAAAATGAGGAGTCATCAAAACTTGAAGCTGATATGTAGCTTTTCAGTTTTGGTAACTTTAACAAGCAGGATTGATGATAAGAATTGGGTTTCAGCATTTCATGAAAGCCTTGGGGACCAGAGACTTTCAGAAGGTATAGGCAGTCAAGAAAGGCAATTGATTCGATTTATTATCTTCATATTTTACTTCTGCTCATAAGCGCTTTGCTAGAAGTGCCTAAAGCCGGTGCTTTTCCAAAAAACGCTTCTAGGACCTAGAAGAAGTTGCACATAAACCCTTAAACTCCAGCTAAGTGATCTCCTTTCCTTCCATTGCAGATGAACAGCACAGGTACTCTAAATACATAATGTTGACACAGTTTGAGTCCTAAATTATAGGAAGTTGCAGTCAGTTGTCATTTAGTTTGCGGTCATGGTGAAGTTCTGTTTCTTGCGGGAATTGCAGCAATATTACTCATTGCAACATGGACCTTATGCAGAAAAAGGACTCATGAGAGTTTTCAGCACGAAAAGAAGGTATTTATTTCTACAACAAGTTTCATATCTTACTACAATTCCAACAGTTGTGAATTGTTGCTACCCTTTTTTTTACTGGACAACAGCATTAGATGATTTACTGTCTGAAGAATCCGGCAGCCTTAAGATATCAAGCAAGGAAATATATTCAGCGACCGGCAATCCAAGTGCAGACAACTTCATTGACCAAGGAGGAGCTGGTAAGGTATACAAAGGCATACTATCAAATGGTAAGCATGTTGCAGTGAAGCACATAATCAACGATGGCTCTGTCGAGACATTCATCAGCGAAGTAATGAGCCTTTCCGATGTTAGACATCCAGACCTTGTAGCTTTGCTTGGCTCTTGTGAGGGTGTAGAAGAATATTTCCTGGTTTATGAACTGTCCCAAAATGGGGACCTTTTGGAGTGGCTATTTGGTAGGGTCATATTTCCATTCGTAAAATTTTCTCTTGCATTTTGATAATTCAGAAAGCCAATTCAATCAAAGCTGATTTGCAGGTAAAGATAAAAGTCTGCCATGGATAACTAGATTAGAACTTGCCATTGACAGTGCTGGAGGTCTGTGGCTTCTGCAAACTTATCCGAGAGGCTGCATTGTTCACCGTGATATCAAGGTAGCTCTAAACTTTCTTCATTTCTTCTGTTTGCACCGCTGCTGTTGCTTCATTTGCCACTCTTTTCATCAAACTTCTTTTCTTGCCACATTCCCAACTGGCAGCCAACAAACATTCTCATTGACAAAAATTTTCAAGCGAAACTGTCAGACTTCGAGTTATCTAAAGTTATGGACTTGGGACAGTCCTATGTGAGCTCAGAAGTGAGAGGGACATTTGGTTATGCTGATCCTGTGTACAGAAAGAACCACCATGTAAATGCTTCAGGAGACGTCTACAGTTTTGGAATAGTTCTTCCGCAACTTATTTCGGGCTGCAGGGTTATCAATCTAAGCTTAAACAAACCAATGCCTCTGAGTAAAATGGTAATGAAGTCAAATTTTATCTCCACATCTCTGAAAAAACTATTTCAATTTGCTGATTCGATTTCTTATGTTCAATATCTTAGTAGGCAAGGGCCCTCAAGAAAGGCGGTGATGCAATGCAACAGAACTTGCAGATCCCAAACTTAACGGGGAGTACTCAGTAGAAGCTTTAGATCTTGCGTTCAACCTAGCGACTAAAGCTGTAAAGGTCAAGCATGGACCAAGTGGTATCAAAACTCGAAAAGGCACTCGATACCTCAACCCAAAAACAGTCAGCTTTTTTTACCCTACCAATCAAGGCTTGGAATCGAAGAAACTCGGGCACATAGTTTTGTGCATTGAAACAATAGTGAATGATTTATTACTGATTTTGTATGGAAAAAGAATTTTGCAATACAGAGCAATACAACAATGATTTTGTACAAAGCTTCATTGGAGAAGCTGATCATATATACTGATATAGTCGTTAGCTCTTAAAAAAAACCGAGCCAATAACGAAACCAAACCAGACTAAAAATCAAACTAAAACAACACCATATCTTCACAGGACCCTGAATTTACAGGAGGGCCTCAAAAGAATTAAGCAATGTAAGTATCCCCACAAATATTCGGGGTTTACCTAACGTGAACGAATCGCTCTTGTGGAACTGGAGAGATTGAGCCGGATGACCTTCTTTCATGGAACTCATGCAGGACCCTGATGAGAGCACTGGCCTTTTTGCTTGCTCGAGACGTGCCTTCGTTGAGTTGAGAATACAAAGGTCCCATAAGTGAAGGGCTCTTTGCTAGAGAGCAACCACATCTCCGCTGCCATTTACGCAAAGAGCAAGCAACAAAGACACGCAGAACTCCTTCCCTGCCCTAGGAATGGAGGAATTCAGGATCCCCACGATCGTATCCAAAGCTTTGCAACGCGAAATTGCAACTGATCCATCACGTTTCTCTGCGAGAGTTGAAAGAATTGCCAGAGCATCTGTGACGAGAGCTTCACTATCTGTTAAGACATTAACAAGCAGAGGAACTACCCCTGCTACTATCACCCTCCTATGATTTTCAGGGTGATTAATGAGCCCGAAAATCGCAACCAATGCGTTTTTCTTGGCCCTATCAGTTCCATCCTTGATCAACTCCATCAATGCCGGTATGGCATCTGCATTTTCTCCAATCAATCTCCTGTACTCCTCCACCGAAGAGAGGTAAAACAATGTGCCAGCAGCATGCTGACGAGCCTCTAATCTGAGACCTTCCTTCACCACACCTACAATCAAATCCAGACCACGATTTTCGACAATCACAGCCTTGCTTTTCGTATACTTCGAAAGATTCAACAAGGAGGCGATGGCATTTTCTTGAATCCCTGAATCTGCTGAACATAACAGTTTCAACAAATGTGGAACCACACCGGCTTCCAACAAACAAGACCTGTTAAAAATGCTTGATTTCGAAAGAAGCCGGATTTCATAAGCGGCCTTGTTCTGCTCTTCTACTGTCCCAACCTCAAGCCATCCATTAAGAAACTCAGCCACCATTTTCATGGCTCCCTCAGCTGCCAAACTCCCAGCAACTGCAAGCCTAGTCCTCCCACTGTCGTGATTTCGGTGACCCGAATCAGCAAATGCAACACCATTTTCGCAACAATACTGCTGGATCAATCGCTTTAGCGCCAAATTCGGCACCACCTCCGTGTTCTTGAGCTTCTCCCCCGTCTTGGGACAAATGGGATTGCCAGCTCTGAACCATTTTTCAATCGAAGACCGATCGTAGCTCTGCCCTGTTGCTATCGTGACCGGATCAGCCATGATTTCGAGCGATATCGGGCACCGGAAATCTTCCGAATTGAGGCAATCCACCGCCACGCCGGCGCCGCTGCATTTGGTCTCGGATCTTCGACCCGGTTCACCATCCACAACATCGAACAACACACATCGACAGTAGCAAAGCAAACCCTTCAGGCTGCACAACAATCCCACCTCTCTCTTCTCCTGGCTCAAATTCTCGAACCCAATTTCCGAATCCAAGAACTTGACTTGCTTGTCACACCTGCTCCATTTCCTAATCCCGAGGAACTCGAGAACCCATTTCAAATCCCCCTTGTCCGGAGCAACTCCTTTCTCTAACCCGGCCAAAACGGACCTCACCGCCTCCACGACACGAATATCATCCGGGTCGACTTCATACCCCGTCTTTCGCGCTTGCCTGGCCACCAATTCCACGTGCTCCTTGACCTCAACGGAGGCGTCGACCGACGCGAGAGGCAGAACATCGAGAGCCGTGCCCATGGCCCGACTCAAGATCCTAAACTGACTCGCCACGTGACCCGACTTCATCAGCATCCATACCCTAGCGTCATCCCGGGCCAAGTCTTCCAGCAAGAACTGAACTTTCTGGAAGGCCAAGTGGAGCTCCGACAAGCTCAGAACTGCGGAGGTCGGAAGACCCGACGATTCATCTCGAACCGCTTCGAGAAAAACCCGGACGACACCGATTTGTCGGATGATTTCTCGGGCGTTTCGGGCGTTGCTGGCGATGACTTTCGACTTGAAAGAGCAAATGTTGCAGGTGAGAGTGATGAGTGACGCCAGGAGTGTCTGCGGAGATATGACTTCGCACGGATGAACCGCCGGGTACGTCAGAATCCGGCGACCTGACCCGTTTGATCTCTGAATCATTGAAAAGAATGGATAAAAAGGTTTGATCCTTTATAATGGTGTTTTGTTTGTTTGTTTGTTTGGGTTCAATGGCTGGACGTTCGTGCGTTTATATAAAGGGCGATAGTAGGAGACACGTGTTGGAATCTTATTCGATTCCGACGAATTCGAAAGATCCAAGGGCGCCAGGGTGTTGACTTGGATATTCAGCGTTCGACACGTGTCCTGTGAGACACGTGGGTGGAGGAAATGGCGGCTTCGCAGAGTGTTTCTGAGAAGGCTAATGGGAGCTGGACGCGTGTAGCGTCGATTATGGGAAGGGAAGAGAGGTCGCCGACACTGGATAGAGTCAGACACCGTGTTCGGGGGAATTTAATAACGTGGAATTATTTGGAGGCGGTTTCGAATTAACGTGGAATTTTTTATTATTTTTATTTTATGATTATTATTATTTTTTTAAACAAAAAATATATATTAAAGGAAAACACGTATACAACCGTCCCATTCAAAATCAAACTTAAGAGCATGAAGAGCAAAATCAATTGATTACTTATTTTATATTTTTTTTTTTGTGGAAGAAGAGAATGAATTATTATTATGGGAGCAATAATATAATTTGAAATTGATTACTTATTTGGGGCTATGTTTATTTTTTATGAAAAATGATAGTGTTAATTGGTTAAATTGTTAATTGTTAAAGAAAGAGTAAATTGTAGCAATGGTCCCTTAACTTTAACTCAATTAAAGTAATGATCCCTCAACTAAAAATTCATTATCATTGGTCCCTCAACTCATCAAAACGTGCAACTATAGTTCCTCAACTAAAAATCAATTACCATTGATCTCTCAACTTTAATCCAACTAGAGAAATGGTCTCTTAACTTTAACCCAATTGAGTCAATAGTCCCTCAACTTCAACCCAACTGTAGCAATGGTCCTTCCAACATAACTCGTTTTGACAAAATTCTGACGAAGTTGAAAAAGAAAACCATAGCTACACAGAACTTCTAGAAGGGTTACATGTGGCATAAACTTAGGGCACGAAAATAGGGCTTCTAGAACTTGATATTTAGGTGATTTAATGTGAAAATGAGTCATCTTTGAAGTTGGAATTAAGGTAGGAAAAGATTAGGATAGGATAAGATAAGATAAGGTTGGATAAGGTTTGGATAAGATAAGGTAATTTGGATAATATTCCTTCTTTGTAACTGATTCCTTATCTTCCAAGTCTTTGATTTAATTCTTCCAGATGTTAATCACATTCCTAGCCTCTCTTGATCTTCAAATTCTTCCATCCACCTTACTCCGTGTACGTGCAATCCATTCCAAGCCCAAAACTGCTCTAAAATGCTCCAAATTGCACTTTTTTGCCAACTTTGTCAATTGAACCTAAAAACACACGAAAATAGATTAAAACACTCTAATAAGCAGAAATTAGCTATGTAAATGCAAGAAAACAAGCTAACTAAGTCGCATAAATATGCTCCTATCAAATTCCCCCACACTTAGCTTTTGCTAGTCCCCGAGCAAAACAAAACAAACAAAACATAACCTAGACCTTCCAATATTTACCTCAGGGATTTCCAATGCAACATGACATGTTAAAAATCACTACTCCCACAGATTTTAGCTATCCCTACCCTCGAGCATATACTTAATCATAGTCACCGCTCACTCGTTCCCATTTAATCAATTAAAACATGATTTTGAATGTAGTAACATGCCTTAGAGAATTCCCTCAATTCCTCATTGGATATACTCTCTATTTTTACACAGATTTTCTAACTACACTCCCTACACTAGGTATATGTGAGAAGATTGATGTAAACATGTAGACTAGCACTCACATATGTATAATCAAAGAAGGTACTTTCTGGAATTATTAACATGTATATGTATATGATCTCATGAACGGAATGTCACTACTTAGACGCGAGAATCAGGGATACCATATGCTCAAACCAATTTTAAACTCCACATATTGAAACACATAACAATCAAGATCGAAGTCAAAGGGTTGTAACGGGGCTAGGGTATTGGCTAACAAAGAAAGGTAAGGATAAACAAAAGTTCTTAAAGCAATAGTAAGCAAAGTAATGAAATAAACACTTAGATTTCACTTTTGAATGCAGAAATCAACATTGAACACCAAGGGAAACTTCACACAATACTTAAGGCCAGATTCAAACTTTTGGACCCTTTCTTCAACAATCAACACTTGTGAGTTCATTCTCACTTATTTTCAACTCTTTTTTCTTTCTTTTCTTCAACTTTTTCTTTTTTTTTTCTTTTTTTTTTTTCCTTTTCACTTTTTTTTTGGCACACAAAACGTACTCCTTCATAGAATTCCAACGAAAGACACATTCCCCCACACTTGTTTTTCTGCAATTTTTAGATCAAAAGGAATTCCCTCTAAGTCATGCTTTACTATACTTTAAGAACAAGGGTATGGATAGTCCTATTCTAGGCTAGGTAAGGATAGTGTGGCTAACAAAGAAAATAGGCTAACTAAGTCTCAAAGGCGTTAAACCTACAATACATATGCAAAGGGTAAGGCTTTTTGGCTTTGGTTTTAACTAAATAACTTCATCTTGTTTTATGTTATGCACTAAATTTTATGCTTTGAATGAAATGGGCATGAGTTCTAGTATTTGGAACTATAGTGATAAAACGCATTTTAAGTAGCAACCAAGCAAAGAATAATGAGATCATGCAACGACTTTAGAAAACAAAAACATCAAGATTAATAACTCTCCAAAGAACGTTTAGGCTCAAATCTCTCAGGGTTGTAGCGTTAGTTTGAGTTTTTTCCTTCAAGCATGTTACAAAAACTGATTTTTTTCCTTTTTGTGATTACATGTGAATTCGTAAACGACAACTACAACTAAGCAAAAACCAAAGAGCATATCAAACTTCCATCCATGTTTGTAACTTTCTTTAACAGTCATGCAATTGAAAACCAAATCCTCATCATTGTGCTGGAAGATACCCTAAGACACAAACAAACACACAAAAAAGACTCTTTTTGGGTTTTTTAAACACTCTTTTTCGATTTTTTTTCAAATTTTCGGATTTTCTGTTTAAGACACACAAAAACACTTCAAAACACACTAAAAACATTTAAAAACAGTGAGAAACAACTTTAGAAGTGATGGGTGATAAAATCCAACGAATTTTCATGAAAAACACTTTGTTTACACCCCCCCAACACTTAAACCAAACATTGTCCTCAATGTTTCAAACATAGACTCACAAACAAACAAACAACTAACACACACAACAATAATGGCAAAGTAAAAGCAATAAAGAGTAGGGTTTAGGAACGCAAATCTGGTTGTGGAGTGTTGGAGATTCCTAGGTCTTCTTTATTCGCGTGGGTTGCCTCCCAAGAAGCGCTTGCTTTAACGTCTTCCAGCCGGACGATACTTCCTTTTAAGCTCCCTTAGTGCCCACGACATGGAGGTGATCCTTGAATGAGAGGTGATACTTGAAATGATCTGGTAATGGTTTAAATTCTAGAGTGGGTGCTTGAATCATTAACAACATATTAGTATAAAACAAATTTGAAATTCGGGGAGGTGGCTTACCTGTGTGCTTCGACATGAACTCAATAATAAACACATTTTCGAAAGTTATAGGATTAGAAAATTCAGCCAGATTTGGTGTTTTGAGAGTTATGACTTGTCCTGTGTCATAAAATCTAACTTCTTTGGGAATTGTTGTCTCAAGTATATCCTCTTTAATTAATTCTAGACATTCCCTAGCCACTTCTTGCTCTTGATTCTTTGGGAAAGTTTCGAAGATGCCTTTCTCACCCTCTTCTTCCTTGGATTGCAAGATCCTGCAAGGAATAGGGACATTTGGTGGAACGGGGTCAAGACGAATTGAATTAGGGCTTACCTTTGTTGTAGTGGATGGCATAAAGGGTATATGTGGTTGCGGCAAGGGTGGTTCTTCCCTTGTCGTGGCCTTGTTATCCTCCTCTTCATCGAGCAGCAGCTGTTCATTCATCTTTTGGCTTGGTTTGGATGTCTTGGGTTCATCTCCAACCTCCATGCCACTTTCCAAGGTGATAGGTTCAGCAATTTCAACAGTTGAGTCGGATAGTTCGCTTTGTTCTTGCATTTGCCCCATGAATTCCGCGATCTCTCCCATTCTTCAATTCGCTCATTACTTAGGCTTGATTTTGTAATTTCTTGGTTTGATTTTGTACTTCATGTGCCAAAATAACTTATTTTGACAAAATTATAACGAAGTTGACGAAAATGACTATAGCTACATATTTTGATGTGTTGAGGGACCAATGTTAATGGATTTTTAATTGAGGGATTATTGCTCCAATTTGGTTAAAGTTGAAGGGTCATTACTACAATTTACAAGAAGATCAAATCCACACTAAGGTACATAAATATATATTTTTTTGGGTAAAGTACAAAAAACTACCTCAACTATTGGTATCACGACACTTTCATACCTCATCTTTCAAAATTGACAATGTCATACCTTATCTTACGAAATTGTGCCAATGTCACACCTTCATCAGTTTTTTTGTTAATTTCTCTGTTAAATGCTGACGTAGCCCGACACGTGTCCCACTCACTAATCCAATTGGATTAAAAAATAATTAAATATATTTTTAATAATTAAATATTCAAAAATTAAAAATATATACATATTAAATCTCTCTCACTCTCTCCTCTCTCTCTCCCCCCTTTCTTGCCTCTCTCTTCTCTGCAACCCAAAACCCCTTCTCACCCGTTCTCCACCACCCTCTCTCTCCTTCTATCCCCCTTTCTCGCTTCTTTCTATTCTCTGCATCCCAGAAGACCCAGACCCCGAAGGAACAAAACCCACCTTCCCATTGCAACAATTGTTGTCACAATTCGAAAACCCCAAAACGAAGAACCCAATATTGCTTAACTACTCTGTCACCCTCGATCTGGAGATCACAACGACGTTGTTCCACGGCATCATCTTCCTCGACTACTCTGCCTCCCTCACTCTGCTACCTTCGATTTGCACTTGGACGCCCAAAACGACGGCGTCAACCTGAACTCGGACTGGGAATCGGTCTGATTTGCGACGAAGTCCGAGTCTGTGGGGTAGTGGGGGGGGGACACGGGTCAATGGGCAAGAGTTTGGCGGGACGGGTGGGAAGAGGTCCGGGGGGGGGGGGTCGAGTGGAAAGGGGTTTTGGGTATTCTGGGATGCAGAGAAGAGAGAGGCAAGAAAGGGTGGGAGAGAGATGAGAGAAAGATTTAATATATATATTTTCTTAATTTTTGAATATTTAATTATTTTTTAATCCAGTTGGATTAGTGAGTGGGACACGTATTGGGCTACGTCAGCATTTAACAGAGAAATTAAAACTGACGGAGGTCTGACATTGGCACAAATTCGTAAGATGAGGTATGACATTGTCAATTTTAAAAGATGAGATATGAAAGTGTCGGACACCAATAGTTGAGGTAGTTTTTTGTATTTTACCCATTTTTTTTCTATCACTGCAATAAAACGTCATCTATAATGTGTCATTTGATAGGGACACAAAATTTAGTAACCTAAATAACATAAAATTGATGATTGAGTTATTACTTCAGTGTTAATTAACGTGCTCATTTCTTATTTTTTATTTTATTTTTCAATTGATTTATGCGAAGTCAAAGGTTGTTAATTTGCTATGACTTGTGAACAGAGGAAGGGAAGAAAATACTTACTTTTTGTATAATTTTTTGGATCCGGTTTCTCTGCCCTCCCATTTCTCATACACTCCCTTCCTCTTCTATTTTGTACGATCATGGTTAAAACCACGTCAATATTTTATATTGATTTCTTTTTATAGAGATAGATAATAAGACAAAAGCAATAGTAATATAAAATGTTGACGTGACTTAATCGTGACTGCACAAATAGACGGGGATGAGAATGTATGGGAAGTGAGAGGGCAAAGAAGCCAGGTCCTAATTTTCCAACAATTCTGAAGAATTCAAAGTATATTATTTATTAGTATTTTTTTATGACGTGGGAGAATAATTACAGCGTTGTTGAAGTCATTGACTAGTGTAAAACACTTATTAGTTTTGAGTGGCATAATAATTTCGATTTTCTCAAACTTTTTAATCATATCCGCTTGTTGGAGTTAATTCAATTTTTAGCGTACCGTCAAGGGGATATAACTTAGCTTCACATCACCTGACAGAAGTGTAATTTTAATAGATACTGTTTCTTGGCGGATATGTAAATTAAGTAGCATGTGTGAATGTTAAAGTTATAAAATAAAGACATGCATTGTCAAACTTAACTTGATCCCCGGCCTAGTTTTAATATTTGATAATATTAAGGGCAATGTTTCTCGTCGGACATGTAAAGTGACGGGTGCATGTCAAAGTTGTGAAACATATATACTTCTCTATGAGATTTCCAGTAGTAGCCTACTAGGTAGATGGATTGCATGCTCAAACAAACTCCAACTTTTTTTTTTCTTCGGATATGAAAAGATAAGATCTCTATATTTTTTAGTACATTTTCTTGTTGTTTTGCTTTGTCTACCTTTGGACTTTGGTGATGGAGAAGTAAAACCAACTATTTTTTTCTTGTTGGCTGAAGTCAACAAAGCTGAACTGCTCTGTATTTTATGGTTTGGTTTGGTTGGATTTGGTGTTGGAGAATAGAGATTGAGATACACTCTAGATCTCACATTCTCAAGCCTATAGATCGAGCAATTGGACCGTTTAAGAGAGTGATATATGTGCATTGGAGTGAAAGATTATATGCGAGGTGAGGCAGTGAGATGGGCTAATGGGAACCACATGATTTAAATTGAACGGTACAGCTTGCTTGGTCAGCGAGCTCTGGAGTATGAGATCCGGAGAGAATCTCAATCCGAAGAATATATAGTTAAGTTGGAACGATACCGGTGATATATGTAGTGGACCATGCCAGAAAAATGTATCATTTAATTTAGTCTGGTATGGAGCAAATTAAAACAAAGAATAGAAGTTTTAACGACTTGTGGTGTGGAACTAGGAAATCAGACTCTTTGGCATCTTCTTCTTCTAGCAACAGGCAGCAGCTCCAGCCTTGAACAGTATTTGGCACATATTCTGATATCCTGTCCTTGCCCGTCATCTTATGCAACAGCCTGGCTTAGATTTTGATTCATTTGAAGGATTTTTTGCTCTCTCAACATCCAACAATTTTATCTTCTCACAGATCACATCAATCCGATTATTCAGAATTTGAGAGACAAAAAAAAAAAAAATGATTAATTCAGAATTTTAAGAGATGAATAGTGACTCCCTATAAAAGTTTGAGGGGCAACTTGCAAGTCCTTTTTATTGCATTATGGTATTATCTGTCACATGTCAAAGCACCTCTCGGAGCCAGCTATAGACTTCTGGCAAATCTGGCCATTTTGTGAACGACCCTCAGACAATTTTAGGTCACCCTGTACTTTTTCTATCATTTTGCATTCATCCCTCCTTTATTTTCTTTTTATCTTTTTAGTTTCTCATGCTTCTTTATTTTTAACCATTAAATTAAATAAATCAAACAGAATCAATAATTAAGATTAAACAGGGATGTGTTGAAACGAGAAATTTTAGTAGATCACGTTTTAGCTCATTAACATTAGTGCTATTTGGGGTTTTGATTATTTGGGACAACTTTTCAAAAGTTTTTATAAAACTATCTGGTAACACGGTGTGGTGTGGAACAGTTAATTTAAAGCTAAATTTCAAAAGCAACTACAATAAGTACTATATTGATTAGTGCCATGATGAATCAAACATACGAAGAACGTATCAGCATCTACGTTAACAATACGTTCTTAATAATATCGCTGCACCTCGGTGGTTTCTGCTAATATCTAGTTTCCATTAGCCAAGAACCTTGGTGAAGGCCAGCACATTTTAGATTGGCCTACTACATTTGCCTTCCAGAACACCTGGACCACATCAAGAAATTAAAATGGTGCACTGATCATAGGACGTTGCTGCCAAAAAACCCATCAAAGCATTTAAGTGAATGTCCAAATCATGCAATGCCCTGACTTTAGGGCAGCCCCACAAAAGCTGTGACAAATTGCCAAACCTCTCAAAATCTCACCCCACATGAGCTCCCTGATTCTGTCTAAAAGGTGCTAAATTTAAAACACCTAATAAAATTGATTCTATCATACTAATAAAGATATAGCCATCCAGCTAATACACAACTAAGCAAAGATTATGAACCTCCCAATAAATACCATAAACTTGGAAGCATTTTTGTTAATCTACTACATCTAACAAACAATGGCATTTTTCCAAGGAAAAATACACTTCTGGTGTATTTTGATCTTGTGTTGTATGTCTATGTTGGTTTCCTCCAACAGGCTCTACACGAGTCCAAGCGTTCCTCGTTTAACCGATGTTTTTCCTCGTGTTTCGATTGATAGAGGGTTTTCCAAAGTTTTTGGAGGCTCAAATGTTCAGGTCATCAATGGATCCATGGCCACTCTTGCTCTTGACAAAAACTCAGGTGAAGTCCTTCAAAATGATTGATACTTATAAATTTTTAACTCTGATAAATGCTTCAAAAACTTTATTAATTGTCTCGGGTTCTCTTTTGTTTTTGATTCAACACGCAGGATCTGGATTGGCATCGGTAAACAAATTTCACTACGGATTCTTCAGTGCTGCAATCAAGCTGCCTGCTGGTCTCACTTCTGGGGTTGTAGTGGCTTTCTATGTAAGTTCATTGGTCATATATCATGAATACACACTATAACTTGAGCACTAACCAGTTAGTAAATAAATAAGACGTTAAAATTTTGAATATTTGCATATATGTTGTCACGACCATGCTTTGACATCTACTTTTGCTTAATTTAGTGAGATAACAAATTGAATGCATGGAATTTTTGCAGCTGTCTAATGCAGATGTGTTCCCTCACAATCATGATGAGATAGACATAGAACTCTTGGGCCACGATAAAAGAAATGATTGGGTCATCCAAACAAATATATATGCAAATGGAAGCGTAAACACAGGAAGAGAGGAGAAATTCTATCTCTGGTTTGACCCAACACTACAGCACCATCAGTACAGCATCATCTGGAACAACCATCATACAGTGTAAGAAACCCAGAATCCCTTGCGACTTACGAGACAGAGCTTACCTACACTTGGGGTGTCACGGTGGTAGTATCCCAAAGTCAATCACGCATTATCATTTCTTTTAGCTTAACCGCATGACCGTCTGTGGTTCGCTTAGGATGCATACCACCACCACATCTCAAGGTGCATGAAAGTTCTTCTCTACCGGACGTTTGAAATTGCCCAATATTCTAAATTCCCATGAAAACATTTGCAGGTTTCTAGTGGACAACGTCCCAGTGAGGGAGTTTCAGCACAGCAGTTCATTTTTCCCATCAAAACCCATGTCAGTTTACGCAACAATATGGGATGCATCAGATTGGGCAACTCATGGAGGAAAATATCCAGTTAACTATAAGTATGCACCATTTAGGGTTTCGTTTGCAGAGATGGAGATGAGTGGCTGCATATCCAATCCCACCGGAACAGTGACGTCTTGTGTTCGGAGCAATCCCTCGAGCGTGGACCCCGTCGAGGGGCCGGAGTTTGTTAAGTTGTCTAGTCAACAAATTGGCGCAATGGATTGGGCAAGAAGTAAACTCATGTTTTACTCTTACTGTAAAGATACAAAAAGGTTTAAAGTTATGCCACCAGAGTGCAAATAATTATTTTTGAAACATTATTAATTTATCATGCTGATTATACTGTAAACAATTGCAATATTATACAATTCCATATTCAAATTGTTCACCTCTCTATCCAATTCATTAATTGTTTTCCATGAGTTTTGCTAGCATTACGCACAACTGACTAACGTTAGAATTGCTCAATTTTTTGTTTTAGTGCGTGGCACTAGCCCTACTCTATTTTCGATTCTTCAATGGCTCTGTGTATAGTCGCTATCTTTCCTTTATCTCTGTTTCTGCGTGATCCACTCCCTATTCCTTAGAATATGTTTACTATCGATGTTATGAACAAAAAAATACAAATTGACAACTACAATTGAAGCTTTTTCAGGACCAATCAGCCAACACAGATGTTTTGGCAAAACCTTGGCCTATTTTAATATTGTGAATGGACCCATTTGGTCGATGTTATTTGTTTTCTCTTACAATGTGATGTTCTAAAGTTGAGAAAGGAGACTCAAACTTGTGTGCAAGAGAGTGAGCACACAACCACGTCTGCAGATTCGATGGAGGATTCATCTTTGTGATATAGCAGTGGGTCATGGGGGGCAAAGATACAAGGTGGGCTTCAACCACTTCATGTCATGTACAGATCCAAAAAAGTGGAAATATATTCCATGCCATCTCCTTAGTTAACAAGCCACGAGCCAAATCTGGCATTATATGGACAATACCTAACTAATAAACAGTGATTGGTCGCCAGTATCTTTGTAACTTGTTGACTTTGTGGTACAATGAAACGGTAAAACATTTGAGGTTTAATTGGCACCGGTTGGACTAGCGAATCATAATTATCAGAACCTAACTAACCTACTATTAATGACAGATAGTGTAAGACACAAAATTCATGTACCTTGAGTTGTAAAATGTGATTGGAAAAGGAGAAAGTGATGCCTCAACAAACCATAGAAAGTTGATTGTCATATTAGACCAACCACAAACCTACTGATTAACTTAACCAACAGTTAATTCAACAGAAACATTAATAGTTCTTCACAAAGAAGCAAATATTTTTTGTCACCACCCCAATGCCATCATGAGATCACAGCCACATATTCTGATGCAGTACTCTCAATTTATTTTTGGCAGTGACAAAAAAAGCTTGTGAAGTTCATAGCCATGCAGGATTCGTCAGGGGGTGACAACAGCCTTGACTTGCAAGTAATTGGAAAGACCGTAAATGCCCTTTTCTCTTCCGATTCCACTCATCTTGTACCCTCCGAAATGAATAGAGCATCAACGACATAGAAGCAGTTTATAAATACACTGCCAACGCACTGCGCGAGTCAGTATGTTTCAGTGTCTATGTTTTGTGTAAAGATCCCTGCAGCAAGTCCATAACGAGAGTTATTTTCCATAGTGAGAGTTATTTTCCCTTTCGTATCACCTCATTAAGATCCCTGCAATCGGCCGTAAGGTTAGTTCTAACTTCTAAGGGAAGCACAGGACGCTGTAATCACAACAGGCATAGAGAAGAATATTTAATTGCTCACTTGTACTTCAAGATGGTATGCACCAAACCAAATATCTACTCACGAGCTATTGGCATGTCATCCAACCCCACGAGACAATAATGTTTAGATCAATCGTAATCATGTTCCGGCTTCTTGGTAAATATTATGGTTTTTATGTTGATTAGTACCTGAACATCTGATAATACAGTGGGCTTAATATAGTTACCCTTTGTGCCAAGCCTCTCTCCTCCGGTTCCATTTTAGCTCCACCTTTAACACCATAATCTATGTACTTTGGGATCTTCTCGAATTGGTCTGAATCGGTATGATTAGAATACAAAACCGGAAATGCAAGTGAGGCTGTGGAACAACTTTGGACAGCAACGTGTTTAATGGTCTGAGACTAATAGAGCTGTCACTTGTTTACCTGAGGACCTTGCTCAACGCCCCCCTTGGACGGGTCTCCAACAACGCGTCTCTCAGCATGAGCCTTTGCTTTCTCTATGAACTCGTCATATACTTTTTCATCTACAAAAGTACGAGAACCATCGCAGCAGCATTGACCCTACAAACAGAGGTGTCATGTAATCAGCAAATGTATTGCTTTGCCTCTTAGAATCAAACTTTTTCTTCGAAGCATCAGCATCCTCACATACAATAATATGGGATCTCCCGCCAAGCTCCAGTTACTGTCTTAAGATTGCTTTTGGCAGCCAATTCAAGTATTTTTTTTACCAGTGTCAGTTGATCCAGTAAACGCAACCTGTGGAGGGATCAACGATACTTTTTAGCAGAAAAAATGCATTCATATGAAAAATTGGTGAAAACTAGAACACTAGTAGCCCAATTACTATTACTCTCGTAACCATATACTGTCATAGAACAAGTAAAAGTTACAGTAAGCTGTCATCTTTGGCCACGGTCCTTCACCAAGGCCTTGCGGGCAGCAGAAACTGCGCGGTTTACATCTTCAGCATCGCCTTCAGCAGCGTGAGCAATCACGTCCCCAGTCTGGGTGTCCAATGTGAGAAAAGTTTTCCCTGATCAAAGCGTCACGCGAAGGAACCCGAAAATGATATGAATGCTTGAAAACATGCTGATTACTCCAATGTTGATGTAGAATCTACAAATTGTCCATTAATTAGAAGCTGAGTATAATCTACTTTGACGGATGGAGTGATGGGTGCCTCCATGGAAGCATCGGTGCTACATTTACCAATTCCTCTAACCTCAGAAGATCTCCCTGGTAAAAGTAAAATCAAGTAAATGAGTGAAAACTATACCAGGGTAAAGTTACATGTCAAAAAATCCAGTCAGAAAAAAATAACATTAGCACAATATTAAAGTAAAGTACAAGAAGCTAGTCATTTATGATCATTTGCATCTCCTGATTAGCAGGTGATATTCTGAATTACTCTAATTTACAGAATAGAAAATTTCAACTTAAGTGCAAAGGACCTGACACATTGTGTCTTGACTAATTAGCCAAACTCGCGTATGCCTATGTAACAAATTTTAATCACCAAATAATGTGACAAATTTCATGATAGTTTTGTAGTTAACATATATGATTTTCTCCCTTTTAAGTTCCTCTTCCTTTCCTCTCTTCTTATTTGAACGGTCATGATTAAGTTAATATGATTTTCTCTCTTCTAAGTTCTCCTTCCCGAACTCAGATCCTCTCCATATCTAATGATCTTGATCCTAAGGATCAAATGATCCGGGTTGTTTAAATTTGATTCAACGGCTACAAACATGAGGCTTCCCTAAAAGTTATAATAATTATAGAGTTTAATCAAATTTCAATGGCCTGAATCATTTGATCCTTAGGCTCAGGATCATTAGATCTAGAGAGGATCTGAATTCCTCCTTCCCTTTGTCTCTTTTTATTTAAACGGTCATGATTAAATTACGTCAACGTCTTGTACTAATTTCATTATAAAAATGAAAAAACAAAGAAAAAAAAGTAAGAGAGAAAGGAAGGAAAAGGAAGGCAGAGAGTCATATTAGAACATGCTCTCCTCCTCAAAAAAGCAAGTTAGGACCATACACAGATACGGTGGGTGACTGAGAAAAGCCAAAAGCCACTGTTGAACGAAAAGCCATAAGTCAGAGATAGGGATACCAGAAAAGAAGAACCAAGTTGTGTGATAGGTTTCAGAAAATTTTACCAAAAAAGAAAAGAGATCCAAAAACACATGATCTAAGTCTCTTAAAATTTCAACTTAATCCATCTTATGCCAACCCACTGAGCTATTTCATCCAAATTTTGTTTGTTCATCTTAGTACTGGTTTGGTACCGATGTCTTTTTATAAAAAGTAGATATAAAAAAAAGTTAAGCTCAAAAAAATGTTTGGTAAATACTTAAAAACAGCTTATTTTCATAGTTTTGGGTGAAAAAAGCTGAAAACGTGAAACAGCAAAAGTGAGCTTATTCTCAAAGCATAGTATAAACATTTTTTTTTAAAGCACAGCAATACCAAACCAGTCCTACACTACTAGAAAATGGCTCTAAAAGAGACCATTTAATTAGAGACAGATATAAACGACTCATTTAAAAGTGTTTTTAAAATATTTTTTGTGAAATTGATTTTTGAAGCATAAGATATATGCTTTTTGCAAAAAACATTTCAAGTGTTTTTATAGAATCTATTTCAATTTTAAAAATTAATTTCAAAAATTTTTTTACAAAACACTTTCCGTCACATTAAAAATACTTTCAATCGATCCAAAAACAGTCTTTTCAAAATTCTAGAGGGGACTGATTAGTACAAATCCATGCCTAAAAGTGTAACGTGACTGATATCAGTACCTTATCTTTATTAGCAAGAAAAATGAAAAGAATGAGATGGAAGAGAATGGAAAAAGGTGGAGATAAAATTCTAGTTCATTTTAACGAAAAATCATATTTTTACACTAAAAAGTTAATCATGGTGCTATTCACTTTAACAATTATTTTGTCCTTACCGTTAAAACTTACAATTTTCAAACCATTTTCATTAGTTTTTTTTTTTAATTTGGTGGGGATATTAGTTATTAACTCTATTAATCTATTATCTTTTTTTCCCAAATGTTTTTACGATCAATATAAACTTTTTGTCCTAAAAATATTAAATATTTTTGTTTTCAAACAGTTTGTTTTTTCTTCCAAATGTTGGATTTGCTTTTGTAAAAATTGTTAATTGATACATTTAATTTGAAACATATCACTATTGTTGTCCGTCCAATTTTCTCTTAATATATTAAAATAAATTTTATATTGGTACGTTGGTTTTAAAAATACTTATAACCGTTTTGACAACAAAAATATTTTAATTGTAGGTAATCATTGCTAAATTGTAGGAATTATCTAAAATTAAATTGTATCTAACTACGTTTTCTTTTACAGTTATCTCTAAAGGTAAGAGAGGAATCAAAAGGAAAAATTTAAAAACTTAGGATTCCACCAGAATAAGAAAAATTAACCAAAAGAAGAAAAAATTGTTAACAAATGATTATCCCATTTTGTTCATACCTGGTACCACGTCCCAAAAGCAATTAGAAATCTAATTCAACCAAAAATTAAAATCCCTTGGATTTGTACATCAAACAAGAGAAAGAAACTCCTTGGTAGCAGATGTGATCCTCGATGGCAGATCCGTCGTGATGGACTGAGAGAATGAATAGGAGGGGAGGCGGTCGCCACCGGGAGAAAGAAGGAGAGAGAGGGAGGGGAGGGCTGGGTTATTTCACAGAGAATGAAAAGAGATGGAGATCTGATCATCTGAGAGAGTTTGTTTAAAATATTCACCGTTAAGATTGATCTAACGGCTCAAAATTGCAGCGCATTAGGCCCAAGGCACCTGAGATTTTGCGGAAATGATTTCAATTTTCAGAGGAATTGGCTATCGGACCCAAAGTTACACATACATACATACATATACATATATATATACATATATATATATATATATATATCCCAATCCTGCGTGCATGGCTGCATGCATATTGCATACATATGACAGACCAGATAACAGTGAAGGCAATCGCCCGCATGTTATCAATACCCAACAATGTGTTCACATCACACTCATCATTGCCATCTGAGGCTGATCGATCTCTCGATCCAGAAGCTATCGTTATCTGCGTAATTTAGGTACACTACCAAGGGGTTATGTAGAATTGTCTTTAAAATGATTGAAAATATTTTTTTTAGTAAATATTTTAGGATTTTAAAAGTAAGTTATTCTTGAAAGAAGCGCCAGTTAGATGCTTCTTACGTGAAATAATAAAATGTTTTTCTAAGATTCATTTGCTTTTTACTAAGAATTGGTTACCAAAAGTACTTTCAGTCATTGTAAAAGTACTTCCAAATGAACCCTAAGTTTTCAACATGCGTGGTTTACACATGAAAAAAAATAATTGACTTTCTCAATAAATAAATAAATAAAGTTTTATTTTTAGTTATGAGACATTGCTTTATACAAAATTTTATCTTAGTCTATGGACTTTATTTTGTCTAAGTATAGCACCTGCACTCATTGTTTGTGTCTCGCTTCATCCTGTCTCGTTATCTTTGTTATATAAGCTGTTAAGAAAAATGTTAAGGAGATTCTCCATGGACTCATCTCTCAACTCATGTTCCACAATGTTTATAGTGAAAAAATAACGTTCAATTGTGAGATGACAGATGATTCATGAAAGAGTCCCTTTTTAACAGAATCACCTTAACATTTCTCAACTGTTAATTTGACGATGTGGCCGAAATATATGTAGGTTTTGCTTTCCACTTTGTTTACTGAAACTGCACCACTCAACTTTCTACTCAAAACACAATGGCCAAACAATTTCTCCAACGTAATTATTCTCATTTAGTCCGCAAATTTCACACTTAAGTAGTTTCCAAAATCAAATAGACTGGTTATTGTATATATTAACATTCTAGATCATTGTGTTTTTCTTCAAGTGAAAAAAAAAATGCATGATTGTTATTTTTAGCATCCATGTAACAATTAATTTATGTTATAACATGTGGATATGCTGGTTTTTTTTTATCTTTGATCAATGAGACATCAACTTTGTCATCCAGCTCGTATTATAATATACACATAACAAACATCGTGTGATTGTGTGATCAGCACACATAAAAATTTCCTCCAAATAAGGCAACTTTAGCTTTTGCTTGTTTTACATTTATGACTTTAGTTCAAAGTCCAACAACATTAATCACAATTATAATTTTTCATGTTTTAACATTTTGATTCTTCATGCTACTTAATGTTATGGTCTAATGATATTCTTCTCTTTTTATAAGTTAAATTATAGATTCAATTATGTATGTACCCTTAATGCAAGTAATATATCGTTGTATTAAAAATCACATAAATTAAAAAAAACTCTACTATTATAATCCGACGACTTTGCTGCCCCCAAATCACAGCAACCAGCCATACAACGCCACCGCCCACATCAATTATTCGAATAATTTCTTCACTTTATATTGAAGAAAACAAAAAAGTCAAAAAAAAAAAAAAAAAAAAAAACCAAAACAAAAGAATAAACAAATCAGTGGCAAGATTGGTAAATTACCCACAAAGGAAGGACGTTTATTGTGCAAAGAGCAAGTGCGTCAGAGATATCATATTCTGGGGAATATTTGTTTTTTCCAACAAAAACAGAAAGCCGAATTCAGCAAACCCTAATTGAGAACCTTATCATTTTATATTGTACCTTCAGAAAAATAAAGGAAATTTTAACAAAAAAAAACTTTATGTACTGGTTATTTTAATAAAAAAAATTATATTCTTAAATTAAAAAATCAATTTTGATACTATTAACTTTATCCTTTATTTTTTCTTTATCGTTAAAACTTAAAATTTTCGATATTTTTTCTTTAATTTTTCAAAAAACAAAAGAATAAATAATAAATAAATATAGTCAGAGTCATAGTGAAAGTCCGAAAGTAGGAAAGAAAAGCAAAAGCAAAGCACACAGCCAACCGCGTCAGTACTAAGCACAACAATTCGATTCTTTTTGTGAAAACTTTTCTTCAAGGGTTCGTTGGCAGTTGATTTTAAAATGATCAAAAATATGTTGAGATAAAATAATATAGATTTTAAAAGTACTCAAAATGTTTCTTGTGAAAATACCGATTTTATACACTTTTTGTAAGAAGCATTAAAGTATTAAGAGTTGATTTAAAAAATATTTCTTTCAAAAACATTTTTAGCAATTTCAAAAGTATATCGAATAAGCCTTACATAATATCTCTTTTAGAACCGCTTCCAATCATTTATATAAATTATCACATTTATAATACGAGTAAAAGGGTAATACTACATACTAGTGGCAATTACCATTTTTGACCTTCAATTTTTAATTTTAAAGAAATCTCGCAATCCATCATTTACAATTGGA